GAAAAATTGATGCTTTTGAACTGTGGTGTTGGAGAAGACTCTTGAGAGTCCCTTGGACTGCAAGGAGATCCAACCAATCCATCCTGAAGGAGATAAGTCCTGGGTGTTCTTTGGAAGGACTGATGCTGATGCTGAAACTCCAGTACTTTGGTTACCTGATGTGAAGAGTTGACTCATTGGAAAAGACCCTGTTGCTTGGAGGGATTGGGGGCAGGAGGAGAAGGGGATGACAGAGGATGAGATGGCTGGATGGCATCACCGACTCGATGGGCATGAGTTTAAGTAGACTCCAGGAGTTTGTGATGGACAGGGAGGCCTGGCGTGCTGCGATTCATGGGGTTGCAAAGAGTCGGACACAACTGAGCGACTGAATTGAACTGAACTGAACTGAATGTTGCCTCCACAATTCGTTGAGTGCATTTTGTTGACCATGTCAGGAGCCAGGAATCTGAGGCCCTGCACCATTCTCATCACTTGTCAAAATGGATTTTTGCCACTTTTAATATCTTGTGTCCCCTGTCTTCATTCTTTGCTTCTTCCCTTCATCTTTCCCTCTTACTCTCATAGCCATCAATTAAAAAATGTATACTTATTCTGTTCTTCACTTGGTGAAACAGTTCCTCCCCCACGTCTTGTGATCCTTCATCTCTAAATACAGGAGCTACTTAAGGAAGTATTATTATTATCATGAATATTATTCTGTCTTTTATCAGTATATACATTATCCTTTGGAAATAGCACCTCAGAAACTGTGAGCAAAGAAATCATTTCACTTCAGTGGGCCTGTTTTTGCCCCTGTAAAAGTAAGATATTGGTCAAAACAGTGTCCTGATGGGAATGTCAGAACCCTGAGTGGTACACACTCACAGGCATGCTCAAAAGAATTCCATGGTCAAGCCATTTTCAGAGCCACACAGACTCCCCTCTAATTGATTCTCAATACACATTAGTGTGTAGCAAAGATTCTGATAATTCCTCTGATGAAGAAGCCTATTGGACCCAGGAATTCCCATGCCTATTTGATTGAATTCCATCCCACAGCCTGCTTTGGGAGGTACTGGACAAAATCCTCTCTGAGTATTGGACAGGATAAAAACTGCCTGAAGTTGCCAAAGGAAGTGCCACATTCAGTAGCAAACCAAGGAAAAAGAGCCCTGGTTCCAACTCCTTCTTTGCCCAGGCTGGATACAGTTGGCACTGAGCATACTGGCTATGCTCTGCACTGCTCGTTTTCAATGTCGGTTTTGTCACAGCATCCACAGACCCCCCACCACCACCACACACACACACACACACACACACACACACACACACACACACACATGCAGACACACCCCTTGGGTTGCAGACAGTCTGCTTCTGTGAAGACTGATTATCGGCGTGGTTAATTTGCTCTGAGCAGCCACAGACAGGGAGCCCCGATAAACGCGGCCCCTGGGTCAATGCCTGGGAAGATTTAGCCCCTGCAGTGCAGCAGACTTGTGGAGCGTTTCAGACATCAATGGTCCTTGTGTCCTGAGTGATGGGGGCTAAGACACAAAGAGACTCCAGGAGCAATGGGGAATGGTCCTCTTTGGCAGGAACAGAAAGAATTTTCCTGGAAAGAGAAAAGATAGTCCTAATACTATAGCAAGATGGATGAATATTTCTCTCAAAAATATATTACTTTTCTTGTCCCCAGGAAATGGGGACTCTCTCTCTCTCCCAGTGCCCAGTACTTCTGACCCTAACAAGGTCCTGGGAGAAGCCAAACACATGAGCCACTTCTCAAGTCCCCAGCAGCGCCCTCCGCGGAGTAACCCCCTCCATGAATGCAGAGACCTCTGTGCAGCGCTCACTCTGTGCCTCTTGCTGTGAGTCCTCAGAGCAACCAGGGAGGCTGAGAGTGTCCCATCACTTTCACACAGGAGGACACAGTGCCTTGGACAGAGGGAGTGCCGTCAGCTCCAGGTCACACAGCCAGTAAGGGACCCAGTAGGATGAAGCCCAGCTCAGCTCGGCCGAGTGCTGAAATGTACTCTGCACTGTATCTGTGCTCACTTGGGTATCATGCACTGAGTTCACAGGAACTCCAGCCCTTCTCAGACATGCTCTCCTAAGAAACTCAATTTTAACTCCTAGAATCCCGCCTCCCCCCAACCCAAACCCTCAAAGCCCAGCTCAGGGCAGTTTCAGCTCTCCCCTACTAGCTGTGTGGCCTGGAGTGAGTCACTGAGCCTCTCTGAGCCCTCAGCCCTCTCATCGTCAATATGGAGGTAACCTTGCTTGCCTACTGACCACACAGGACGTTGCATCAAAGGTCCTGGGACTTGCCCTTTGGCAGGTAAGGGACTGCCTGATGGTCCATGGGCAGCAAATGTTCCCCTCCCTGAGCCGTCTCCCCTGGAACTGAAGCAGGCCCCAGACAAACTCCTCGCCACCTCCCCCAGACCCACATTATTGCTCCAAAGAGTCCCAGGGAGGCCCTGATCTGTGGCAGCATCTGAAAAACCCTAGTTCGGCTGTAATCAACCAACAAACCCCCTTGTTCACTGAACCTCGGCAGTGAGCTAAGCATTGTGCTGGAGACCATGGAAGTGGACGCCAAAGGCCCTACCTCGGGAGCCTCGAAGTTTCCTCGGGGATGTGGTAGAACAAGCCCAGAGCAGCACAGTGCACGAGACACTGCCTGAGGACATGCTGCTGCAGACTTGGGGGGTTAGGAATTTAGAAGACACCAAGGAGGGCAAAGCCCTCAGGAAAGACTTCAGGCCGCCCCACCAGACTAGGGGAAGGAGAGCCAGGCTGCATCCTGGGAGGGGTCGGGGAGGGGTGGGCAGCAACTTTTGCACAAAAGGGACTTCATGCAGGAAGGCCAGAGATAGCTCTTCAGCTGCCCAGTATTTTCTGGAAGGTTCGCTTTTTCAGTCCACTTCAGATCTGGGTCTTCTTGAAGGAAGTTAATTTTTTAAAATATTTTTAAGCATTTAAATAGAGCATGTTAAAGCAACACTACCCTGCCTTGATTTCCTCACAGGCCTGTTGGTACGCTTAGGGATTCAAATGTTTATGAAGATAGTGGTGGAAGAGTGGGCAGAAAAAAACGCAAAGGGGCCGGATGTCTGTGGTAGGGGTTCTGGCTCCACTCACCTGGCGCTGTGACTCTGTGAACGCTGCGCCGCACAGAGGCGGGGTCACTGTTCTGGGCTGAGGCCCGGGTGTGTGCATCTGTATAAACCTCCCAGTGATCGCGAATGTGCAGCCAGGGCCAAGACCCCAGGACAACCAGCCTGCGTTTGACCTCCCGGTGAGCACGGGAGCCTAGCGTTTCAGACCTTCTCTCCCCTGAGAGCTCCTCACCAGCCGGTCACTTCTGTCTCCTACAGAACCAGCCCTCCTCCCTGGCCATGCTGGATCTCCTGCATGTGGCTCGGGACATCGCCTGCGGCTGTCAGTATCTAGAGGAGAATCACTTCATCCACCGGTGAGTCCAAGTGACCTTGCTCTGCCCTCACATTCCAGACGCTCCCCTACATGTCCCTTGGGCTTTGTTTGGCCCATGTGTAAAGTGGGATCATGTGCTGTGCTGTGCTTAATCACTCAGTTGTATCTGACTCTTTGCAACCCAATGGACTATAGCCCGCCAGGCTCCTCTGTCCATGGGGATTCTCCAGGCAACAATACTGGTGTGGGTTGTCATGCCCTCCTTCAGGGTATCTTCCTGACTGAGGGATCAAACCCAGGTCGCCCACATTACAGGTGGATTCTTTACCAACTGAACTACCGGGGAAGCAAAGTGGGATCATAAAAGCATCTATATCAGCGCCGGAGACCCAGATGAGCTCTGCCTGACCTCCTGCAGGGACCCCTGCCTGTGTCAAGTCCTAGGTCATGTTAATGTTTCCGTGTCTAGAAGACTGAGCTTCCTAGGTGGCTCAATGGGCAAGAATCTGCCTGTCTAAGCATCCAGGGTTCAATCCCTGGGTCGGGAAGATCACCTGGAGAAGAAAATGACAACCCACTCCAGTATTTTTGCCTGGAGAATCCCCACGGACAGAGGAGCCTGGAGGGCTACAGTCCATGGATCACAAATAGTCAGGCACAACTGAGTGACCAAGCATGCCACATCATCTAGAAAATTGGGCTCCTTAAGGGAAGTTTGAGGATTTTGTATTTTCGGATCTATGGCTATGGATAAATCAAAGGCAACGACCCTATTTTATTCATCTTCATATCCCCAGCATATAGTGGCACACAATAAATGTTTATTGGATAAATTATTTTTTTCTAAAACACTCAGAAATGAAGAATGAGAATTATTTTCTTTAACTCTATACTTAGTTTCTTCTACTCAGTATGACCCTTGTGTTTAAATGGTGTTTGCACTTGTACATCAAGTCCATGTGTAACGCTATAGACATGAGAGATGACACATATTTCTTTCCACATGGCTATCCATGGCTTTCTCAACAGACAGCTTGATTCTGAAACTTGAAAAGTCAAATAGATTGTTAGACTCTTTGCAAAGCTCTTCCTAATGATTTGTTTCTCATTTAGTAAGTAATAACATGGTGAACTAATAAACATTCATGAACGCATCAAAGAGTATAAGACATGTTGCTAATCATTAGAATATGTAAATATAATGTAGAGAATGAGAGACGCTGTATGAGTTTAGAAATAGAAGAGCATGGAGGTAGATAACAAGCTATGTTTTCTTCCCTAATAAAGGGGATGTTAAAGATCAAGAAATACACTGGCCTAGTTTACCAAAATCATTCTGAAAACATGGCCAGAAGCTCACACTGGCTCATCCTTTGTCGCTTCATCCTTTTGGCCCTCAGATCTTCCTCTTGAGTCTCAACCTTTCCAGCTTGCAGATCATTGTGCTTGATAGAAATAACAGAAGCAAGAGAGAAGCCGAGCCCCAGTTCTTTCTGTTCTCATCCAAAGCCACACTTTCTGCTTCACAGCGCAGGTCAGCCCTGCCACTATTGTTCTTGCCCTTTTTATTGTGTCCAGAACTTTCCATAAATCTCAGCTCTGGGCTTTATTGTCGCTCAGACATGACAGGGTTGTGCTCTTTTTAGAATAAGTCCTTGGCTAGAGCCATCGTTCCATCTTTTTTTTTTTCTTTGAAGTATAGTAGAGTTACAATGTTGTGTTACTGCTATACAACAAAGTATGCATTCTTTTTCATATTCTTTTCCACTATGGTTTCTCAGACTGGTGTACCTGGAATGAATAAATGTCTCTCCATCTCATGTCTGCCTCCTCTAAGTCTGAGCCCATCTGAGAGCAATGTGACCCATCACCTTAGTGACTTCAGATCTCTCCCTTCACTTCTCCCCGAGGTCGTCTCTCCCTTTTCATCTCCACCCCACTTTAATCACCAAGTGTCCAGATTCTCTGACTGAGGGATTGTGTCTACTTTTCCTCTGACGTTTTGAAAGCTGCTTTCCTAAGGGATGATACATTTTGACTATATCCAGTGCCCTGTTATTACTGAAAAATAAGATAACAGGATCGAAAATTCACTCAAGATTCCTAATCCTTCCATATCTGTAAATAGTTGCTGAAGGTCACAATAAGATCCCAGAGTAATATTTTGTTGCTTCTTTTATCTTTTTCGAGAAATGAAATTGTCAAAAATTGAATCAACAGTATGTTCGATGATCTGCTTTATAAGCAAAAGGTGACGATTAGCAGAAATTGTCCATCTCAATCAAAGCTGTCTTCTGGGGTAATTGGTTTTAGGAAAGCATCTTTTTATATCTTCTTCTAACTGGCTCAAGGCTGATGGCACCCTCCCCCAATAGTTTTACTTAATTCTCTCTCCTTCACCATCTGCCTTAAGATTCACAAACTCCCATGCACACATACCTCCTGAATTCAGAGCAGACTCCCTCACAGATCCACACACTCCCATTTTTCTATTAGATCTGTTTCCTTTGGACATGGTTTATTGCCATTTCAAGAAATATATGTCATTCTACCAATTCTTGGTGTGTTCTATGATATTACATTTACTTTCTTGCTGTTAAATTCAAGATCAATTTTTTAAGCAACCATTCCATGCACATCAACGAAAAAGACCTTTCCAGAGCCATAAATATTGTTCTTGGTCGACTTCACTATATTTCTCTTGAGAAGCAATGGCTATATATCCTACTATATTTTCTTCTTTTTGATGTCATATATGTTATGCTTTTATGGTTTTCTTAGGGCATTTTATGCACCATTGCTCCTCAAAATTCAACTTAAACCTTCTAGATTAGGGCAGTGGCATTAATAACACCCATCTCCCACCCTGACCAATTGTTCTGCTATCCTAAGCCATGATCCCCCACCCAGATCTTTTTTGTAAAAATACTATTCAGCTGTTTATTTTCCATGTTCCTTCTTTCTCAGCCAATGATCATGAAACCAGTTGAAAGTATAAAAACACCACCCATTCCCCCCAAGAAGTACTATTTTCTTCTCTCCAGGACTTTAATATCATTAGAAACCCATTCCATGAGTTTGAACAAACTCCAGTACATAGTGAAAGGACAGGGAAGCCCTGTGTGCTACAGTCCAGGGGGCCACAGAGAGTCAGACACGACTTAGTGACTTAACAACAACCACATTCCAGGCTTCGTCTGGCTGCATCCTTAATCCCCACATGCAGCTCAAGAATGGGTTAGCGGTCAGTGAGTAGAAGCTGATGAGTCTTGGAAAGCTTCTGATCCAGGCTTACACACATGCTATGGAAGAATAGGCCCTGACGACTGGAATGTAATGACTAAGACAAGATAACTTTATAACAGGAAAGAGTGATTCTTTGGCCTCATAGCTATGATGCATACAGCTTAACAAAGGCTTTAGATAAAATCATGGATGTAAAAACCATGATGGCATATTAAAATATAAAACTAGAAATATTTGGGGGAAGCCTTGACCTACTTGAATCTCATGGGAACCATGCTGTTTCAGAACATTCCTTCAAACAACCGGCAGAAACCAACCAGCAATCTGTACAGAACAATAACCAAAGGCCAAATACATTTCTATGTCCCTCTATTCTCTTCTTTTAAATTTTTTGATAAAATAAGGATAATACTAGCACCTTGTATCTTACAGGGCTACGGTGAGAATTAGATATGAAGTAGTTAGAACAGTGCTTAAGTACATAGTAAAAGGACAATCAATTTTCTAGTTCCTATTATAGTTCTTTTCATTATTATTATCCCATTAAACATTTTCAATCATCTCCCCTAATCCTTTTCCATTTCCCTGTTGGTTCTGAGACCTAGAATTGCTTAGCTATTCCTTTTGTACTGAAGTCTAATGTAGTAAAGGAAATACAGAGAAGAAAACGGAACTATTTGAACTTTAGATTGGAGGTGAAAATGCTTGTGATTCTTATATCTTTTTCTTTTTAGGAATAAAATTACAAAATGCATTTTCTCTTTTTTTTAATCCCAGGGACATTGCTGCCAGGAACTGCCTCTTGACCTGCCCAGGCCCTGGAAGAGTGGCCAAGATTGGAGACTTCGGAATGGCCCGTGACATCTACAGGTGAGTGAAGACTGCCATCACCCATCCAAGCTCACCTTCTCAACTGCATCCCCTAGAGCACTCTGGTGCCTTGTCAACCTGCCACCTAAAATGGCATTAAGTTCCTTTGCAGCATGGGGCAGCCTTAATTATTATTCATGCCTGAAGGGCTAATTCTAGGATCTCTCTGCCTGCAATAAATTGACACTAACCTATTAATTAGATTGTCTTTCTGGTTCTAACTCTTTAGTCTAGCATGTTCTGAGACAGAATAACCTGGATACTTCACATGGAAAAAGTGTCTAGGTAAACTTTAGCTTAATTAACCCCTTTCCTTAATACTCAGGAATTCCAAACAGACTTAGCTTCCATTCCCCTAGGCAAGAGCACCGTAGAACTGACAGGGCCCAGCGCATTGCTCTGCATTTCCCACACCAGGAGACATGGAAGTATAGTCAAAGCCCGTCGGTACTTAGCTCGGCTTCATTTCTTTTTCCCTGTCACATTCTCGAGGCTACATAAAAAAAAAAAAAAAAACAGGGAACTTCCCTGGTGGTCCACTGGTTAAGACTTGCACTCCCAATGCAGGGGGCCTGGGTTTCGTCCCTGGTCAGGGAACTAGATCCCACATGCCACAACGAAATTCAAAAATCCTGTGTGCCACAACTAAGACCCAGTGCAGTCAACTAAGTATTAATTAAAAAGAAATCAATAAAATAAACATTTTAACTGAAAAAAAAACCCTCTATTGTATACTGTCCCACACTTCTCTTCCCAACCCCTAGTTTCATCTTTGTCTAATTATTAACAACAGTGACTCGCGCCATGAGCTGAGTGAGCCACTCTCTGGCACAGTCACTAATTACACCTTCCCTATCCCAGCTGTAGAGTGAGGAGAGATGGTCAGGTAGACTTTTCAGTCTTCGGACAATACAGGAGACCCCTGTCGGCCTCCCACGGAACTGGTAGCAATCTCCTAGGGCGAGAATGCTGATGGCATCCTGTTACCACTGGGCAGCAGCACACGGAAACTCAGGAGTCAGCAATGTTTTCACCTACTGTTATCTTCCACTGATATTCACTGCATATCTGGTAAAGCTCCGCTTCACCCTCTTCCACCACCTGGAGCCTCAGTGTTCCTTCACCTCCTGTCTCAGAGCACCCAGGAGTGCCTGCGCTCTAAGACTCGAATGTTGCAGGAGACTAGACAAGTCACGTGGTCTGGCCCTTCCCCTCCGTCCTCAGCACTGCTAGGTCCCAACTCCAGACTTCAGCACCCTAACTTCCCTACAGCCCTGCTTCCCACAGGCCCCGTGCAACAGCGTGTGTCATGAATGTCTCCTGTGAGAGGTTCTTTGCCATTCAGCTTCATCAGCACCCCCAAGACACTCTTTCTGTATTTTTCCACCCACCACCCCCACCCCGAGTAGAACAAACCCATTCTTCTTTGGTCACTGAGTTTCCTCTTGAATACATACTTTTGTCATCATACGTGTGTTCTTACTGCAGTTAATTATGTCTGTTTCTTCCACTAAACCATATCCTTGGAAGAGAGAGACTATGACATTTCTGTCCTCAGCACGGGGCAGAATACCTCACACGTTGTTGTTCAGTCACTCAGATGTGTCTGACTCTTGGCAACCCCATGGACTGCAGCATACCAGGCTTTCCTGTCCTTCACTATCTCCCGGAGTTTACTCAGACTCATGTCCATTGAGTCAATGATGCCATCCAACCATCTCATTCTCTGTCAACCCCTCCTCCTCCTGCCCTCAAACTTTCCCAATATCAGGGTCTTTTCCAATGAGTCAGCTAACCACTCAATTCATATTTCAGTCAGTTATTTTTTGAAGTAATTAATCTAGGCAGCTGGTAGGAAGCCACCTCCCATAACATACCAGGCTCAAGAACACTGGCTGGGGTGGAGCTGGCTTCAGAAGTAGGGATTATTAGGTTTTTTTATCAGTGAGTTCATTAATGATGTCACTGACAAAAACTAGTTACCTCATCCCTCGGATGCCAGCTCCACCCCAGGCCTGTGTTTTCCCTGGGGACTGTGCTAAAGGAAGCAGCTTCCCACCAGCCACCTAGAGGACTTGGAGTCACGTGCCTGTGTTGATTTGAATTAGATGCTGTGTGAGTGCCGACAAGGACCCAGACTAGTAGGACACCAGCCCCACTCTTAGCCCTCCCACTGTGTATCTCGCATTACCGTGGATCATCAGGAACTGTACTCATAAGGTTGGAGTAATGTTATTCATTGTGAGTTACAGTAAACAAAATCCATCAGGGAAATCTAACCATCTGCTAGCGGGTATTTTAGTCATTGCATAGATCTTTTCTTTCACGCCTCCAGCGGGCTGTTTCGTCTCCTATTAAGTGACACTAAGGTTGTTAACTAGATGATCTGTGTTCCTGCTCTCCCCCCAAATCACAAGAGCCCCTCATTAATTTCAGTTCGTAGACCTTGTTTTTTGCCACTTTCTCAAGGTACCTGGCTCAGAGCCATCTCCAGAACCAAGTCTGCTTTTCTCTTCTCCCTGCAGAGCAAGCTACTACCGAAAAGGAGGCTGTGCAATGCTGCCAGTCAAGTGGATGCCCCCAGAGGCCTTCATGGAAGGAATATTTACTTCTAAAACAGACACGTGGTGAGTCTTTCTGCTACTCTCATCCAGGTCTCACCATGAGCCTTCAAGTAGAGCTCATGAGTCAAATGAGCCCACACTCTCTTGTGGAAGGGTAAGAGAGATGATAGCATACCTCTATAGCAGGGCCCACATCAACAGAGCATCAGACTCACCAGGAAGTCTTGGTAAGACACAACTGAATGCTGGAGCCCACCCTGAGAGCTTAGGATCCAAGAAGTCTGAGGTCGTTGAGAAGCTCCGTTCCTCACAAATTCCCAGGCTGTGCTGATACTGCAGGTGGTGGGCCACACACAGAGCCACACGTAATTTTTTTTAACATAGTAACACAGTTGGATTTATTCCAGGAATGCAGCATTGAGTTAAGATTAGAAAAATGATCAATGAAATTCTCCAACTGACAGAAAAACAGAGAAAAAGAAATTATCAGCACAAAAATATCAGTGATGGTGATCTACAGCTAAAAATCACTTTAGAAAACACTATCTGCACATTAGATCTCCAGAAATCATTCATCCTGCATAACTGAGACCCTGTGCTCCTTGACTAGCCTCTCCTTCTTCCCTGGCAATCATCATTCCATTCTCTGTTTCTGTGATTCCACTTATAAGTAAGGTCATGTGATATTTGTCTTTCTATGCCTGATTTATTTCACTCAGCATACTGTCCTCCAGGTTTATCCCTGTTGTTGAAAATGGCAAATTTCCTTCTTGTTTAAGGCTGAATAATATTCCTCTGTATGTGTGTGTGTGTGTAAAATACATGCCACATGTTCTTTATCCATTCATCCATCAATCAGTATTTAGGTTGTTTCCATATCTTGGCTATTGTTAATAATGTTGCAGTGATCTTGGGAGTGCAGATGCCTCTGCAAAATACTGATTTTATTTCCTTTGGATGTATACCCAGAAGTGGGATTGCTAGCTCTTAAGGTAGTTCTATTTTTAATTTTTTGAGCACTCTCCATACTGTTTTACATAATTCCTACAAGAGCAACACATAATTTTAAATGGCAGTCAACCTGTGTTCCCTCCCAAAATACACACACACACAGAGGGATCTTTTTTGCATAAAAATCCACAAGGACAAAGACAACAATGACATTATTCTGGAAACTGGAAACTTTACTTGTGTGTGCGCTCAGTGGCTCAGTCGTGTCCGACTCTGTGTGACCCCACGGACTGTAGACTGCCAGGCTCCTCTGTCCATGGAATTTTCCAGGCCAGAATACTGGAGTGGTAACCCTTCCCTTCTCCAGGGGATCTTCCCAACCCAGGGATCGAACCCAGGTCTTCTGCATTGCAGATGGATTCTTTACCATCTGAACCACCAGGGAAGCCCGGTCCCTTACTTAGGAGACTAGAAAGTTGACACCTACATCCATCTTGAAGTAGCCTGCTTCACTCTGCCTGGTCAGGTGCCCCAGAAAGGCCCAGGAATGGAAGGTGCCAGCAGGTGCAGCAGAGAGGAAAATGAGTTACAGATCTGTTTAAAAAGTAACTAGATCATTCCCTCACCTCTGCCCCTCCTCAACCATCACACAAAGCTAAGGGTTCCCTCTCTGAAGAATTGAATTCTTTCTGACCTTGGGGATATCAGACATCAGCAAGGGTGGATTCTCTACTGTAAGCAGATATAGTAGAGTTTAAGAAGTCTGCCTACTTAAAGGTGCATGCCTCCTCCCTCCCCTCAGTGCCAAGCACATGGCAGCTATGCAGGAGGAGATCAGAAGATTCTCATTAAAGGAACGGACCCATGAAGAGAAAAACTTCAGACATCGCAAGTGCTAGTGGGCTGAAAAATGGCCCTCCAGTGCTATCAGGCTCTCATCGCAGAAACCCTCATCAGGAGAAGGAGTCTGCATCACCGGTGTCCTCACAGGAGGCAGAGGGGGATTTGCCTCACACCCAGAGGACAGAGGCAGAGGCTGAAGAGATGTGGCCACAAGTCAAGAAGTTCCAGCAGCCTCCAGAAGCCGAAAGAGGCAAGGAACAGTGTGGTCCGGCATACACTTTGCTTTCGGATCTCAATACTGACTTCAGACATCCAGCCTTCGTACCTGTGAGAGAATAAACTTCTGTTGTCTTAAGTCATCGAGTCTGTGGTGCTGCCACAGCACCAGGAAACGAATGCCCCTCATGAAACAAGCAAGTCAGCTGCCCACCAGTTAACAAGCCTCATCTACACAGAGCTTCCCATCTTCTTGGGTTCCAATCTTAATATGTGAACAGAGAGCCAAGAGTCTACAAACACTTGAGAAAAGATTCTGATCTGAAGGAAGTCAACATACACAAAGGAACTTGGAGGAAGAAGAATGCAGAAAGTTTAGGGAAACTTTGAAAAACAATATCCTCGGAAAGTTAAATTATTGTAACCATAATCTTAAAGACAAAAGATTATTTAAAACAATGTTTTTGGGACTTCCCTGGCGGTCCAGTGGTTAAGAATCTGCCTTCAGTGCAGAAGATACGGGTTTGATCCCTAGTTGGGGAACTAAACTCCCACAGGCCAAGAGGCAACTGATCCCGCGTGCCGCCCAGACTGAGCCCGCACACCACAAGGAAAGACCCTGCATGCTGCAACTAAAGACCCGATGCAGCCAAAAATTATTAATTAATTATTTCAAATGTTTTTAGGGAAAAAGCTCCTGGACAGAAAAATGTGATAAGAGAGGCTTCAAGGAGATGGAGCCTAGTTCCCTGGAGCCCATGTGGGCAGCACACCACGGCATTTTTTCAAAAAGAACAGAGAGGGAAAAGCAAGGGGAAGAAAAAAAGTTGGCAGACACTACCTCTGCCAGGCCGTCAAGGTCAACATCAACAGCAGTAGATCATGTTGATAGCACGTACCTTGACATATGATGAAATGGTAGTTAACCTCTGAGGTCTTTCTCCCAAAACCCATTAACTCCAGTCTAATCATAAGAAAAACAGACAAATCCTAACATGACATTCTACAGAATTCCTGACCAGAACTGTTTGAAACTGTCAAGGTCATCAAAAACAAGGAAAGTCTGAGAAGTTGCCAAAGTCAAGAATAGCCTAAGGAAGCATGACAGCTAAATATAAAGTGACATTCTAATGGAGTCCTAGAACAGAAAAAGGAAATTCAGCAAAAGCTAAGGAAATCTGAATAAACTATGGGCTTTAGTTAATAATAATTCCTTAATATTGGCTCATTAATTGTAACAAATGTATCACATTAATGTAAGATGCTAAAAATGGAACTGAGTGTGAGGCATGTGGGAACTTTCTGTATTATCTTCATAATTTCTTTACAACCTAAAACTGTTCTTAAGAAAATAAAGTTTTTTTAAAAAAGATGATAATAGATGTGTGAAAGTAATAGAAAAGTTGGAAGAGTTGAATAAATCTTCTAGAAAATAAAATGACTATAAATAGATGGGATAGACAGGAAAGGAAAGACAATTAAAAGGATTAGACCATTAGACACAATTAGCTGACAAATAGGAGTCCCAGAAAGAATGAAGAGCAGAAATGAAGGGAATAAAAACATCAAAGAAATAGTTCAAGAAGATTTCCCAGAAGGACATACGTTTTCAGAATGAAAGCATCCAGCAAATGCCAAGTGCTATGAATAAAAAAAGCAACCCCATGAACACATCATTGTGGAATTTCAGACCAATGGTGATCAAGGTGGTAAAAGTTCCCAAGGATACAAATAAAATCATAGTAAAAAATTATCAGAAATGAAAGGGAATCCAAACAACTGAATTTCTCAACAGCAACATGGGAAACCAAGAAAATGGACAAGAGTTCTCCAGTTTCTGAAAGCCTTGCATTGAGATAAGGTCAGAAGACAGAGGAGCCATGGTAACCAGGGTCCCTCCTCTGACCCATTTTTTGGTAATGTGTATAAGAGATGTTGTTGTTTGAAGCCACTGATATTTGACTTACCCAAACCCAGTGGGTCTCAAAGTGTGATCCTCCGATCAACAGCATCAGCATCAGCTGGGACCTTGTCATAAACTCAAATTCTCAGTCCCACCCCAGGCCTCATGAAGCAGAAACTCTAGGGGTGGGGTCCAGCAATCTGTGTCTTAAGGAATCCTCAGGTCATTCCATGTGCACCCAAGTTAGAGCACCACCCAGCTACCCTCTCCAGGTACAGATAGTAATTTGGGCAACTATGTAATTTTTTTAAATTGGAATATAATTGCTTTACAATGTTGTGTTAGTTACTGCCATACAACGAAGTGAATCAGGTGTATGTATACATATATCCCCTCACTCCTGGACCTCCCTCTCATCCCTGTCCATCACACCCCTTGGGGTCATCACAGAGCACCAAGCACTTGCATATCCTACGACCCAGCAATCTAAGTGCCTGAATTAGAGAGACTTGGGTAGGGTGTTCATCTGCATCATTGTTTACAATAAAGAATAAGCAAAGATAGCCTAACTGTCACTCAAGGGGAGGATGGAAAAATAAAATTGTAGTTTATTTATATCATGGGACTTCCCAGGTGGTGCAGTGGTAAAGAATCTGCCTGCCAATGCAGGAGACACAGGAGATGTGAGTTTTAAAAGGCTGATAAACATAACACAATTGTGACTTTAAAAATTTTTTTATCAGATTATTTTTATTGATACAAATTCCTAAGATAATTTCATCTGCAATCACTTAAGCTATTTCTATAATTTTAGGAAGAGCGAGTTTTATACCAAAAGAAACAATGTGGGATTTTTAAAAAAAATATTTGTCTTATTTGATTTTTGAATGCTTCAGTGCAAAGCTTTGGGCCTTGTGGCTCCTATTTAAGACAGGCTTACCTTATAGGTGATTAAAAAAACATTGGCATTCAAAATATAGATTTACCTGATCTGTAGGATTACTAGATAAAATACAAAATGGCCAGTTAAAATGAAATTTCACATGAACAGTGAATAATTTTTTGGTATAAGTATGTCTCATGCAGTATTTGGGATATGAATGTGTGCTAAGTCGCTTCAGTCCCATCCAGCTCTGTGCAACCCCGTGAACTGAAGTTCCACAGGCTTCTCTGTCCATGGGATTCTCCAGGCAAGGATACTGGAGTGCGTTGCCATGCCCTCTTCCAGGGGATCATCTCAACCCAGGGATCGAACCCTCATCTCTCATGTCTCCTGCACTGGCCAGTGGGTTCTTTACCACTAGTGCCACCTGGGAAGTCCAACTGGGACTAAATGTAATACTAAAAATACTAAATTTAAAACAATACTAAATTTTAATACTAAAAATGTATTTCTTGTTTACCTGGAATTCAAATATTAATGAGTATCCTGTATGGTTGGTTATCTGCTAAATCTCACAACATTACTTACCTGAAATTATCAGCATTCTATAACCAACATGACTTCTCACTCCCTTGAACTCTAAGAAAATAAACATCTATTTGCAGTCCATACAGTGATTCTCTCAAAGAATACTGCAATTTGTCTCCCTAGCTATTTATCCATATAGGCAGAAAACATATTGCTGGGATTCTTTAAGCCCTGCTACTTAGTTTCATCCGTGATTTTGCTTATTTTGTTTTGCCTTGGGGGGAGGTAGAAAGACCACCAAACAGAGAGGAATAATATATGCACCAGGCAATTTGTAGTTAGTAGACTCAAGAAATCTAACAACGCATTCCAGTCTGTCTTGAATTAACTGTATAATAATCTCTGCTTCAGCCTTCTCACCTGAAAAATATAGAAACTATCTTTGCCCAATTCTCCTCAAAAGAATCTTTGAAAGTTCACTTAAATGATGTCAATAAAAGTACTTTGTGTAAATCACTTCCTACATGTCCGACTCTTTGGGACCCTATGGACTATAGCCTGCCAGGCTCCTCGTCCATGGGATTCTCCAGGCAAGAATACCGGAGTGGGTTGCCCTGCCCTCTTCCAGGGGATTCTCCCAACCCAGGGCTCGAAGCCACATCTCTTAAGTCTCCTGCATTGGCAGGCAGGTTCTTTACCACTGGTGCCACCTGGGAAGCCCAGAGAAGCTTTTGTTGTTCGGTCACTCAGCCGTGTCTGACTCTTTGCAACCCCATGAACTGCAGCACGCCAGGCTTCCCTGTCTTTCACCATCTCCCAGAGCTTACTCAAACTCATGTCCATTGAGTCAGTGATGCCATCCAACCATCTCTTCCTCTGTTATCCCCTTCGCCTCTTGCCTTCAATCTTTCCCAGCATCAGAGTCTTTTCTAATGAGTCAGGTCTTCGCATCAGGTGGCCAAAGTATTGGAGCTTCAGCTTCAGCATCAGTCGTTCCAGTGAATATTTAGGGTTGATTTCCTTTAGGACTGACTGGTTTGATCTTCTTGCAGTCCAAGTGACTCTCAAGAGCTATAGTTCCAGAGGAGCTATAGTTCCTTAAATATAGTTCCGTAAATTTTTGAGGTAGTATTAACATCAAAAAAATGCAACCAGATACTAAAACAAAGATAGCCTTTTTTTGGCTAAAAAAACTAATTATGAAATTAAATGTTTTAAAGTTATAGTCAAAATATCAAAGGAGATGATTTTGAAACACAATAGAAATCATTTTAAAGTTCATTTAAAACAAATCAAATACATTTTTTTGTATTTTTGATTTTGAGAAATCAGATACATTTCTTTTAAAAGAGAGAAGGGAAAATGCCCTACCAGATATTAAAACATAAATACACAAAAAGCAAAAGAGACTTCCCTAGTGGCACAATGGTTAAGAATCTGCCTGCCAATGAGAAAACACAGGTTCGATCCCTGGCCCAAGAAGTTTATACATGCTATGGGGCAACTAAGCCTGTGTGCCACAACTACTGAAGCCCACACTCTAGGGCCCGACTCTACAACAATAGAAGCCAGTGCAATGAGAAGCTCGTGTACCACAACTAGAGAAAAGCTTGCATGCAGCAATGAAGACTTAGCACAGCCAAAAAATAAAGTAAAAGAAAATGGTATCAATGCAAGAAGCAGACAAATAGATGAAGTGAATAGATATCCTGGAACAGACCTGTCTTACTCACAAGTCAATAGTTGACGAGAAAATTATTTTAGGACTATGTAGTGCTAAAGAGTGGTTTTAGAAGAGCGAATAAAATGAAATCCTTACCTCACACTTTACACCAAACTCAACTCCAACTGGATGTGAGAAGAAAGAAAAAAGAAATATTAATACAACTGGAAGAAAATAGCAAACATTCATCTAATCATTGGTAAAGAAAGGATTGTACAATCTCTGAAACAGATGGAAGAAATCACAGAATTTTTAAAAATAGATTCAACTACCTAAAAATAAAAATCTTTGGCTAACAAGGAAAATTAGAAAGCAACTAATAGAAGTGTTTGAACTTTGAATAAAAGATTAACATCTTTGATAAAGTATGTTTATAAATCAAAATACAATATGTGGTTTAAAGTGGATAATAAGTGGTTAAACATGAAACACTCACAGGAAAAAAACAGAGTGAATTAACACACACATTCAACCATGTTAATTATCCAATCAATAAGCATAATTTAAAACAATCTACCATTTTTTACCTTAAAAATCAGCAAAAGTTCTCATTTTTAGTAAGAACACACAGTGTTGGTGACAGTGTCTGATGCGCAGTGCTGGTTGATGATCAGCAATGCATTGGAAAGTCACATTGGCACTATGCAGAAATAATTTCTCTGTGTTCATATTATTTTGATCTAATCATTCTATTAGAATTATCCTAGATTTTACTAGACTATCCTTATCCTAGATTTTACTAGATTATCCTAATCCTAAATTCAAGAAATTTATTCTAAGGAAATTGTCCTTTTAAAAATGTATAAAGATGTTCATCACAATATTTTGAAAATACTTCAAAAATTGAAAACAATATGGAAATGATACAGCAAATTATGGTACAACTACTCAGTGGAATTTTTTATAGCTATGTCAAATTCTATTTATAAGAGGATTTGTATTAGCATGCAAAATGTTTATGCTATAATGGAATTTACAAAAAAAACCCACATCAATTATGTAAAAAAATTCTAAGCCCAGAATATTGAATGAAGAAACATAGCATGCTGGTTATCCTTTTACGGATCTTCATGTGTGGCTACTTTCTCATTCTTTTCTATTTCTCTATATTAAAAATTTTTATTGTGGAAAAATGAAATTAAGCAATTAAAAATTTTCATGTGTGCATGTCTGTGTGTGTCTATGTATGTGAGACTGTGTATGTTTATGTCACTGTGTGTACATATACATATGTCTCTATATGTGTGTCAGGGTATTTACATGTGTGTATGTGTCTGTGAGCATCTGTGTGTGTATGAGCATCTGTGAATGTATTTGTGTGTATGTTTGAGTCTGTGTCTGTGTGTGTGTGTGTGTGTGTGCACCCACACCCACACCTCCCGTCCTGTGTGCAGGTCCTTCGGAGTGCTGCTATGGGAAATCTTCTCTCTTGGATACATGCCATACCCTAGCAAAAGCAACCAGGAAGTCCTGGAGTTCGTCACCAGTGGAGGACGGATGGACCCACCTAAGAACTGCCCGGGGCCTGTGTATGACTGAGGATTTTCTACAATTTACTAAGCACAATTTTCCTTTTCAAAGAATATCTGCAGCCACATATGCTTTTTAATTTTTAAAATGAAGGAACAGATGGCTGACCTCATTTAATATGCCCCAAGATAGGAGTGTGTCTGTAGTTTCAATGAGATGGTTTATTCTTCCTGCTCCTTGACAGCAATAATGCCACACCCCAAAAGGTATACATCGTCTGGATGGAGGCTGTGAACTCACCAGGCTCACTCTCCCCAAGCACCTCCTAGGACTCTGTGTAGTGGACTCCGCCCCTGCCGCCTGACTCCATAGGTCTTGAGTCTCCTTGAAGTATCTCTATTCCCTGGGTTTTCTGCTGTCCTATGTGTCTCACCATGGACTCTATGCAGTCCATGGGCTCGCAAAGAGTCAGACACAACTGAGCGACTGAACTGATCTGTCTCACCTCCTCCCCACAAACAAGACAGATGGGAAATACAGTTAGAATATTCTGCCTCAGAGATAACGTTAATTCAGGGATGGAACAAACGAGCCCTGTATGATACCTTCACACCCTGCCCATCAGCAGAGGGCAGCACGTGCAAACACGGGGGGGGGGGGGGGGGACACACACAAGATGAGTCCCCACTCTAGAAGACAATGCTATTCCAGCCCCATTAGAAAAGCGCTGGGGGGAAAAAAACGTATTTTTCATCCCATTTTTATTGATTTTAATTTATGTGCTTGTTCTTCTTTTAGATACAGGATAATGACCCAGTGCTGGCAACATCAGCCTGAAGACAGGCCCAACTTTGCCATAATTTTGGAGAGGATTGAATACTGCACTCAGGTATACACATCCCCCCACCCCCCACCAACCTCCTTCAACTAGTATTTATATGGAAAAGTCTTGAAGATGGCAAATACCGAAATGTGAAATAACAGTTACACCAGCCAGGAGAAATGAGTTATACTCTTGAAGATGAATGTTAATTATCTATAAGTACAATGAGTGGTATCTCAGTCTGCCTGTTTTGTAAACAAATACTACTCGCTGTTGCTTAAGATGAGTTGAGCTGGGAGAAGGTCTGTTCAAGTCACGCAGCTTCCTGCAGTCCTGCTGGTCCCTGTCCAGATCCCACTCCCACTTCCATCAGTAAGGACTGCATTTTTCCTGTTTTGATGTTAATAGAAATGGGGTACATTTTCAGCAGATAACTATGCCCTCTACCTCCTCAAGAGTGGAGGCCATCAAGTGAGAGCCCTGGCCCCCAGTTTCCCCCATGGTGTCTGCACCATCCTCGGTGGAGGGGTGTCCTCCTCTACCTCAAGGTCTCAGGGACCTTCACACGCTGACACTTCTCATCTCCAGGCTGCGTGCATTCTCTTTCCCTCTTTTTTGCCTCTCATTCTGCCAGGATATCAGATTCTAGAGAACCTTTTAGAAGTTAGACAACAAACCACTACCTCTCTAAATTCCCTCTTCTCTTGTTGTGACAATAGACACACACATTTTCACACTGGAGTCATCTCCTGTCCTCATTCTTTTGGGTCCTTTGAGCTCAGAAGGCATTTGTCTATATAGACTTCAAGTTATTCAGGGTTTTTTTGTTTTGTTTTGTTTTAGAGAACTTTATGTTCAGTGGCTTTTAGGTTATTATGTTGTAATATTAATGGGATGCATCCACTTATGTACATATACTTTGGAGTAATATTCTTCTCCAAAGTACATAAGATCCCTCTTATGTACAGAGCTGGGAGCTCTGTACAAGCATATTTTGAATGACTCATTCTAGAAATTAATAATTAATAGGGAAGGAACAAAAGACTAAAGCAGAGAGAATTAGAAGGTAGTTATTTTTTATGCTTAAACTCTTTACTGATGAATACTGAACCTATGTGCCTTTCTATTAAACTGAAGTAATGGTTTTCCCAATTTACACAAAATAGTACATGATTAAGTTTCCCCAACTTTAAGCTTTCCTCCACAAATCTTCCTTAAATCTCTAACAACTGTCTTCTGCTTTTCTATATCAGTCTGTCACTGTAAAAATGATCTAGCACAGAGTTGATTTTGGAAGTGGTTTTCCTCATAGCATGTCAGTATTTCCTGGGTTTCATCAGATCCAAACTTGTTGAAAAACCACTGCATTGTGATATCAGCATGTGTAATGAAGTGATGATATAACCCAGAAACGTTATGGTCAAGTGCAGCCTCCATCCAAAGGTGATGGAAATGTGAGAACCAGAGGTTAACCTTGTCAGCCAGCATGAGGTGTCCCTCCTCCCTTCCCCTCCCCTCCTCTCACTCTCAACAGACACATTTTGAAGTCAAACATATAGTTTTGTTTTTTTTTTGTTTTTTTATTTCATTGGGAACTGGGCTTCCCTGGTAGCTCAGAGGGTAAAGCCTGCCATGTGGGAGACCTGGGTTCGATCCCCTGGTTGGGAAGCTCATCTGGAGAAGGAAATAGCAACCCACTCCAGTACTCTTGCCTGGAAAATTCCAGATGGAGGAGCCTGGTAAGCTACAGTTCATGGGATTGCAAAGAGTCACACGCGACTGAGCAACTTCACTTCACTGGGAACAGACTGTAACCATTTTTTAAACTAATTTATAATTTTTTAAATCCATTCATCTGTAAGTTTTACCTAAAGCTAGTCTCTGCAAAGCCTTTCTTTCCTGAGCCCACTCCCCTTCCCCAAGCAGTGGGGCCGCTTCCGGGCACTCTGTCCCAGCACACTCTTCCGTCATAGCGCCTCTCCTCCAAGCTCTACAAAGATGAAGACGATTTCGCATGTGTTTATTATTCTCCCGTGCTTACCAATTAATATATTCCCAGTAAACCCTGAATGGTTTCCTCATCTGTGAAATGTTTGGATGATATCTTCGCTAACGTTTATCTTCCCGTCCACACGTTTGGCTTGTGGTTCAAAGTCTCCATCCGTCCATCTCTCCCGCCTGTAGGACCCAGATGTGATCAACACCTCTTTGCCCGTAGAATACGGGCCCCTCGTGGAAGAGGACGAGAAGGTGCCCATGAGACCCCAGGACCCCGAGGGAATCCCTCCTCTCCTGGTCTCGGCGGCCCAGGCCAAGCGAGAGGAGGGCCGCGAGCCGACCGCCCCCGCCGCTCTGCCCTCGGCTCCGCCGGGCAAGGCCGGCAAGAAGCCCGCGGCCGCGGAGGCCTGTGTCCGAGGCGGCACCCGGCCGCCGGGCGTGGACGGGGGACACGTCAACATGGCCTTCTCACAGTCCAACCCGCCTTCGGAGCTGCCCCAAGTCCAGGGCTCCAGGAACAAGCCCACCAGCCTCTGGAACCCCACCTACGGCTCCTGGTTTACAGAGAAACCCACCAAAAAGAACACTCCACCGGCCAAGAAGGAGCAGCGCGAGCGGGGGCCCCCGGGCGGCGAGGGCGCCCGTGCAGTCCCGGCCCCCGCGCCCGCCGCCCGCCGCCCGGGCGCCTCGCTGCTCCTCGAGCCGTCGGCGCTGACCGCCAGCCTGCGGGACGTGCCCCTGTTCAGGCTGCGCCACTTCCCGTGCGGCACCGTCAACTACGGCTACCAGCAGCAGGGCTTCCCCCCGGAGGCCGCCCCCGGCCCGGGCCGCTACGAGGACCCCGCGCCCAAGAGCCAGCCTGCGCCCTGAGCCCCAGCCCGGCCCGGGGAGGGACAGGTAACGGCTCCTCCGCAAACCACTGACCAAATGTCACTCTTCATTCTGTGCCAACTTGTTTTGAAGTGCCACATCAAAGCTGTGTTTTCAAATTGCTTCTAAAGGTTTGGAGCACGGGTTCATCCCAGTCTTGCAAAAGGAGAACATCTCAAAGACGAGTGATCAACGCGAGGCCGGGACGGGGCTGCGTAGGGTTCTGACGGATGGCTGGTGTCCACCTGCTCCCGCTTCTTTCCCTGTCCCGTGTGCTCTGCGCCAGGCTCGCAGAGCTAGCCGCTCCTGTGTTTGCTAGTCGGAGTCATAGGTGTTCCCTCACCTGGTCAATGTGGGCCTGGACCACTTGAGAGCAGAGGGAACAGAAATAAAGTTCTCTGTAGTGTCAGCGCGGGGACATTCTTTACTTGGAAAAGAAAAATCATAGACAACTCACTGGAAGGTCACTGTGGATGATGCTGGGTGCTTTCACTTGTGCTGAGTCATCAACCATCATATCATGAAAATGTGGTTAATAGAGTAGTAGAGAGAAAATGTGTATACACTCACCTGAATGAAACACAAGTACTCAAAGTGCTTTGAGGATGGTAAGATCCAGAGAGTGCAACATCCTGGTAATATACCTCATGCCTTAAGAAAACCTTCCTACTAACGGTGAACAGCTGAGTGTGAGGTTTCCTACTGCGTTGAAAATTTGAGATTTAAAATTTTAATTACTGATTTTAAAACTTAGCACTAAAATAAACGACGATATAATTTAAAAAAAAATTTTAATGTAAGCAACAGTGATACATCGATGCATAAAAACATATCCATTCATGGGCATTAGTGTCACACTTCCTAACAATTTCAATCATGAAGGTTACCAAGTTGAAGTTTCTATTCCTGGAGATGATTCACGGGAGCAGCAGGCCCTCCAGTGGTCCTAAGGAGAGGTACTGATTCAGTATCCTTCTTTCCAGGCTTCACCCCAGTTCCGGCTCCTTAATAGTATGTGATTCTAGCACACATGGGAACAGAAATTGACTGAAACACAAGGCATAATTTGTATACCTGTCAAATATAGAGTAAAACAATTTTTTTCTCTGGGTGACAAGTGAAGGAATTAAGGAACACGTGGAGTGCTGAGGTTGGTAGTGACATGTTACAAAGAGAGTTCTGAACTTGGTTTTCACACGTGAAATTTATCTCCACTGCAGACAAGTTGGGAATCTGTTAAATCTTACACACAGACATATGCAATGATGCTTTATCAGAAAGTTTTCATCCCTTTCTTTCTGCTCGCCTCCATTCTCTTTCCCAGTTTCATTTCTGGTGGTAGCTGTGCCAGAACCTCACTTTGGGATGACAGCATTTTTTATCACTTGTTAAGCACTAAACATTCCCAAGCAAAAGTACTGTGTCTATCCACCTTCCCCTGCCTTCACAACTCCACTTGCATCAACAATCTCATCTGGACGTGAGGCCATTCTGTTCTGGGCCAATACCAGACCAGTGAGTGTTGATTGCCCTATGGCAGAGCCTTGCCTAGTCAGTAGTTCTTCACATCTTGAGAAGCTTAGATACCTTGGACATCACTTTTCTTATCTTCTTGACTGCCAAAAGTATGTTCATTGGACATACATGAAGATGAAACATCAATGAACTCATCTCTTAATACTTGTATCAATAAAGTTTTAGCTCATGCCCGGCACAAAGTAAATAGTCTAATTATATAACCATTAACTCATAAACCACCTGAAGGTGTCCAAGAATCACACTTTGAAAAATACCCTCCTAAAAGGATTACAGAGCAACTGTCAAAACAAGAACAACTTTATATTTGTGACACCAGTAACCAATTAAACAGGGAGCATGCTACGTGGTTAAACAGCCAACTCTTTCAATTAACAAGGGAAAAATCTTATCCCTTTCTCTTCTTAAAAACTACACATCACTACATTTTCAGGTTGTGCCTTACTACCACGGAGATTGATTTGTTGATTCTCTCTAATCGTGTTTATTGGTATCAGTTTTCATGTAAATGATAGTCAAATCTTAAAAGCCTGTATACATGGATAATAAACAACTCCACACTAAGATATGATGACCTCAAGACGTTTCATTTAACTTGCTAATCGCCCAGGTATCAGCACTCCAGCCATATGGCTCCAGCAATTCATACTGATGCTGTGGACTCACATATTTATTTATTATGATGGAAAATTCCACCGAGAACATGGACAGGCACAATTAAAGTCTGTAGAAGGTACATTAGTAAGCTAGTATAATTATTCATGTTCTATATCTATAATGAAGCTCATCATAAGTTCACAATCACTCCATTGGGAAATTGGCAATTTGTGAGGAATGACTAGTTTATCAATAGGTGGTACTTCAATATTTTAGCAGATCAATATAGCAGGAACAAACTTTTATTTTTTTAGAAAGAGCAAGATCTACTTGGTAGTTGAAAGATCAGATTCTCCAGGTGCAGTTAGGATGTGCGTCCTGGCTGTCCATGGGTTCTCAGATCTGTCTGTACCTCAGTGTCTCCGTACACAAAATGAGGATAGTAACATCCCTTTCTCCCTGCCCCTCGGGGAGACTACCAACTGGGAAAGCACAAGCACTCCCTCTCACACCTCTCGAATTCCTTAACGAATCGGGTTGGCTGTGGGGAGAACTTCGGAAGTTGGCCTGTGTCTCCATGCCCCCCTCTTCTGGTCCCCCCAGCTCCCCTCCTGTGCCGCATGGGCTTCATCTGTCAGTTGTTTAATGACAGGAGCAAGAACTCTACCAAAACCAAGTCCTTTCAGCTCAAAGGAAGAGTGTGAACTCTCTGCTACACTTAGTGTTAAAAAATGAGCAACAGAGGAAGACATTTAATCAATTTGATGAATTCTTTTTAAAAAGTGTCTGGCCTCTCCATATAATTTTTGATAATCTCTACAGCTGTAAGATATTACATAACCACAGGTTAACTTTATTCTGTAACACTTGGGGCTTTTACCTCCAGACTCATCAGGTACACCACCAAAAATCCCCAGTGGCTCAGTGGTTAAAGATCTGCTTACAATGCCGGAGCTGAAGAAGACATGAGTTCAATTCCTTGGTGGAGAATATACCCTGGAGGAGGAAATGGCAACCCACTCCTGTATTCTTGCCTGGAGAATCTCATGGAAAGAGGACCCCAGCAAGGCTACAGTCCATGGGACCAAAAAGAGGCAGGCATGATTGAGCACACATGTACCACTAAAAATTCTAAGTGATCAGGCTATTTTAACAGATTTTTCTCTAGTAATAGTAGAATTAAAATTCACATGAGCTTTGTAGACCTAAAACATGATGCTTATGAATTTAGACTACTCTGAATAACAGACTTCCCATGGCAAGATTCATAAAATGTATGAAGTGTGTTGTCAATCAGTCTTTAGCTAATGACTTTTTAAATGGGTCCCCAAAGAACACACAACTTGACTTTGCTAATTTCACTGCAGCAGACAGTTCCCTGTGCTGCTGTGTGAACATATAAAACAAAAACCAGAAATTCCTATAATTTTCCACAAGATGCCCTAAAATAAAAGATAATTATTGAGAACAGATAGTAAGGCTTCTATTAAGGTTCTGTTTTGATTTGGTATCCTGAGTAGGTATATTTAATTTTTAATGCACCACTCAAACACAAAGCTATTTTTATCTCTAAGTTAATAACTTTTAAAACATTTGAAAAGCTCAGTGTAAGGAAATAATATGACATAGCATTGGGGGAGGGAGGAACAAGGCTTCAGTGTTCAGTAAATGTAAATGAGCATGTTACCTTTCCACATAAAGATGGCACCACCAGACTCGCCTCAGGAGAACCCCAGATACCACATCTACCTGCAGCACTGTGCCCTATCTATCCCTCAGATCCCTCTGTTTGACCTGTGCTCCGGCAGTTACCCCACTCCATTCATCTACTAAGGCCTACTGCCTCCCTGAAAGCAATTACTCAAAATCAGTTATCCTGCCATCACTGAAAGCCTCATCGGGCAGGCGAGTTTTTCAGCCAGTGTTAGTTGAAAGGCAGTCTTAGTAAATGAACCCACTAAGCCTTAGTATATTAGTGCTCCCTGGAGCGCTTACATTGTGAGAGGTTATTTGCCAGTACAGATGATTATCAGACTGATAAAAACCTCACACGGTTGTAATATTTTGCATGGTTTAGCACTGATCAATTATTTGAGAAGTAGCAGGCAGACCGAGTACAGGAGTTGAGTATAGGTATTAGACAGCAATTACCTACCTACATGACTCCAGCAAGTTAAATTCTCACTTTCTCATTTAAAAACATGAGCAGTTTGGTCTCAAAGGCCCCCTTCAAGCTCTGAAGTCTGATTCTGTTAAGACTTCACCTCTGTGTAAGGTAAATCCCAACATCTGGTCCACAGTTGGTAGGTGTGTGTGCACAAGTGTGTGTGTGTGTGTGTGTGTGTGTGTGTGTGAGAAAGAGCGACAGAGAGAAAGACTCTTAATTCATTCAAAGCCAAAGCCAATTAATTCAGTGCACAATCCCAGTGATCACAATTATATTTAATCTTCATTCAAAAGGAGACCAGAAAGAAGTTTAGCATCAGTTCTCTGTTTATTGTTCTATTCAAATATCTCTTTAATAAATCATAAAATCATTAACATAGCAAAATGAGGTTAATCTGGGATGGTTTCCTGAAAGAAGCAAAGCTGACAAAGGACTATGAAAATGACTATTTAATGACCTTCACACTCACCATGACACCACTTATTTCTCTTTTGTTACATTTGCTACAGTGGCAGCCTTATTAGCAAAGTAAAATCATGTGACTTATCACTCGAAGGTTCTCTTTCACCATGCCTAGTATTCAATGACAGATCTCATGTACTTTCTGTCCATGACCATTCCCAGAGTAACAAAGCCCAAGATGAGCCGCATGTTGGAGACTCCATGGTGTCCATGGAGTCAGGCCTCCCTCAACAAACATCGTGGAACCATTTATGATGAGGAATTCATAGTAACTGGAGTCCTCTCTCCCAGCCACCATCGGACTGGTTAGAATCCCTCTTTTCAGCTTTGTGGAGACACCTACTGCCACTGAAGGGCAATTTTTAGAAACCTGTGCTGGATTATATAGCTTTATAGTGGATCTAGAAATAGGGAATCCCCAAAAGATAGCCAATTCAAGTGTCCCACCAAAAGAGAAGACTGTGACGATTGCAGGCAATTTTCTACATTTTAGTGTCTCTAACAGTTGAGAAAAAGATTTTTAAATATTTTTTCTTTATTCCACAATAATATTTATGTGGTATTTCACAGTTCTCAGAGAAGTAAGACTAAAGACAAATTATTTTTCTCCATGAATGTAACTAGTAAGCAGCAGGTGACATTTTATAAAAGAAAACAAACTAAAGCAGGACATGGACTGGATTTTCCTCTGTCTCACACCAGGGAGTGTGAAGTGAGACCTAAGAAACCTCATGCTATTTCTTAATTCCCTAAGCTCTAGTCCCTTCAAGAAAGAGAAAAGATCACTTGAGAAAATCACATTTTTAACATTTAAAATTCATTCAAAAATCCACGTTAGGATATTCTCCCAAAAATACTGCATAGCAACACCTATCCTTCATAACGAGAACTGTCAGGAATAGCCAATATCATCAACACTGTTGACTGAGGCTTAAGCTGAATCTCAGAAGTCATGTTAGACAAAGAATAAGAAGGATGACTTGAACCTGTGCACATAATTTTAACATGATTCATTTCCATGTCAGTCTTATTTGATTTGTTACATGAAAAATCATTGATTTGGTCTTCATGAAGGTAAGCGTTCTTCAAGTAATGCCTCTCTCAGACTGGAGCTGAAAGAACTTCTATGAGATCAACACAGGTCAAAGAGAACACAGCATGTAGATATTTAAACTTCCTAAACTTTAGGAATGCTTCAAATTCAGTTCAGTGCAAGTAGCTTCCTGAGACTCCCTATTTAATTTAATTTAATTTAATTTATCCAATTCAAACAACTCTGACAAAATATTCAGTCCTGAGACTGGTTTCTCTGAGAACAGAGGCATACAAGGTGTACATGTGAAGACCTGAATATCTACAGGAGCAATGAGCTTGACACCTGGAGGTTCTTGAAGGGTTTTAGAGCTGAAATTAAATCATATTCATGATCGCTGGTCAAATGATGGCAGTGATCACTGGAGACAGGTTATGTTTTAGCTAAACAACCTCAATTTAAACACCTAGAGTGTCTTCACTAACACAGCTCAGAATTTACAGCCAGCCCCTCCTCAGCACCAAGACCACACTTTCCAATTTGAACTAAAAAATGACAAGACCTACTGCTGCTTTATCATGAAAATTCTGTTATATTTTAAAGAATGAGAAGAAAAAAGGATCCTACACCGCCCCTCTCCCCCCCCCAATCCGGGCCTTTCTCCTCAAGGGAAAAGGCTATGAGCAGAAAAGAGTTTCATTTCTATCACGCATAATGAAAATATATTGTTGTCAGTAATGTGCCCATCCACTCTAACTCCTCCACATAAATTTCTTTCTCCCTCCTGTAAAAAGGAGCACTGGCAAACATTTTGCTAGAAAAAAATTATTTTTGCCTAAGCAAAGGCATCATATTCTGCTTGTAATAAAATCTTAACACGACTTGCGTAACTTGTTCAGCCCCCACACAATCTCCATTAAGAATGTCTGTTGTGTATTCAAGCAGCTTATGTGACATTGTTTGTAAATAAGGGCCTATGTACCAAGGGATATTACTTAACAGTTACTAAAATCATATGTGATAATGTGAGTTTTGTATTAACTACTGTGTTTGTATAATAAATAACTGTAGTAAGGCAGAGGGCATGAAGAAAAATAAAAAATAAATTCTCCTACTTGCTTGTCATGCAATGAAACGTATTATATGTCTGAGTCGATCATTTAGATAACAAATATCCAGTGAACAGTTAACTACTAGATCTATATCCTAATTAAGATGATTCTTAACACATTAGGTCTCCAGCCATTGGTCCATGTGGTTTAAATAACATCACATAGTCTAAATAGGTAGGTCCAAAATACAACTCTGAAATAAAAATGCTGGACACACGTGGCTGAGGTCCCGTCCACCCTGTGTTAGAGCACACACGTTACTGCATCCTCTGAATGAGCGTCACAGCACAGCGGAAACTCAAAGCCGGCCCCAGGGAAAACAGATAGGCAATCGGTGACCATACTGTCCTTCCTGTTCCCTTTTCTACCCTTGACACCCAGCATGTCACTATTTGGGGTAATCATGGGCTACCATGATTCAAACCTTTCTTGTCCCTTGTCCTCCCTTGCCCAGCAAAATGTACCTGTCCGTGGCCTGGCTTCTCCAGCCCACCTGGCTGAAGCTGGCGAGACAGCACCTCTACTGTAAACCATCGATGGCCTCCACTGCCTTTGCTCATTCAACAGCCTTTCCTGAGCATGTACGAGGTACCAAGTATTATTCCAAGTGCTAGGGATGAAGCGATGAACAAAACAATTAGAACCCACCCCTAAATGAGCACAAAGTTGAGTATAACCAAGGGTGGTAAATGCTAAGGAGAATAATAACACATGAGAAGGCTAAGAAGCTCAGGAGAGGATGGTGCGAGGAACTCACCATGGTTAGTGTCTCAGCTCAGACTCTGCAAATGTCTGTATCTGAACATGTTTAAAGCACTTAAACATACTGCCACCAAATTACCTTAAAATATAGAAACAAAAGCCTTTCAGTAGGAGGTAGACACTTATTAACATATAATTTTAAATCTATAAACTCAAAGTTTTCTATCCTACTCTAAATAAATGAAATCCCACTGGTATAAAAGGTAATTAAGCTATTTTAGAAAACCACAGAAATATATTATTTTCTTAAATGAGACTCTGTCCATCAAAACAAAGTAGTAAGAAAGTAGCTAAAAACATAACTTTATTTGCTGAGTAGAAGCATGGCACTTTTTAAGACTCTCATATAGGTATAGGACAAATCCAAGTCATTACTGTAAGAGGAAAAAGGTTAAACACAAAGCATATGTACTGTGAGTACCGAGAAAAGGAGAGGTGCAGGCAGGGTCAGTGACAACATGCCACTCCAAACCAAACAGCGTCCCTTTTTATTAACGCGCAAGATGTGGACTTTGAATGACAGAAGCAAAACACAAATGAAAACACCTAATTTTTATGTATAGTATATGTAAACATACACATTACATGGATTTAATAATCATAATCTAAATATGAGAACAATTGGTTCTCTAACCTCAAAATAAATTCAGTGTTGACATTACTGTTACTAACTTACAAGGTTTTGCATTTAACAGGAAGAATTATGGACACCCAAGTTCAGTGTAGTCATGGATTTCATGGTAAGATATAAATAGAGTTTTTAAGAAATAAACTATATAATAAAATAAGTTTACTTTTGAATCATAGTTCAGTCACTTTCTTCAATCAAAAATATTCCTTGATTATAAAGCAGCCTTACTTTGCAAATGTATTTCAGGAAAATAGCTCTAGCAATATTTGAAATTTCATACTTTTTTTAAAAAGGCAGCAAAGCAACAGACTTTAGATTTTAAACAGTATATTGCAAAATAGTTCAACGTATTCTTTCTAAAGCACAAAGCAAGCTCCATTTTGAAGGATGCTTTTTATCTTATAAAGCAAACTGTTCTGATATTTCTGTGGAAGTTTAGAGTCTGAATATATATGATAAAAGATAAATCTTTGTACATATAGGACAAACTTCAATACATATCCACAACACAAATGTTTTGCATTATTACATCACTCTATTATGAAGCTTAGTTTGTTAACATGTACTCAAAAGGAAAATAAAAACATGATACAGTTCTGCAGCTTTATAACAGGCTGAATTCTGCAACAATCGAAAACATGAAACCAGCAGCAACAGCAAAGGCAACACCAATCTTATGAATAATAAAACAAAACATCAAAAACCATAACCATTTAAATGAATAGCTACTACATTCTTCTTAACATATCTTAATTTGCTCTCTTGTCTTTAATATACTTTTTTTTAAAATATTTTTCATCCCCAGAGGAAATGATGGCAAATTCTCCACAAAGAGGAAAGTGCATCATGTTTTATTTTCAAAGTGCTTCGCATGTGTGTGTTTTATAGATATGTCTAATAAGGAAGTTAAATATGTGCAAATAGTTCCAATTGTGACTTGAATTCATGAACCTCATTATGGGATTTTTAAGTTCCTCCAGATGAGGCAGTCACCAACACAGAAGAAAGATCTGAGATGATGCAGCAGAAAGAGCCCAGGCCACAGATGAGGAGACCTACATCCTAGCTGGAGGGTCTGGTAACCAGCTAGCTCATGACCCAGGTGAGGAAGAGCAGCTTCAGAACCCCGCAGTAGGACAGGTTAAGCTCCAGAGCCGCTGGGGCCCATCCACCCCCACAGCTCTAAAGTATCTGTAGGTGGGACATTCCCAGAAGGGCAAAAAACTAAACCCAAAGACAAAAACATACGTTATCCAGCTACTATTCTCGCCTTGTCCTCAGTGGTACAGAAAGAAAGAAAAACTCCAGACAAGTCATGTGAACGTCTTAACATTAACCAAAGCTAGTGAAAACCTTCACAATGATGGTATATGGAAAATCCACTATTCTGTGCAAAAATGAGACACAGTAAGCAACATCAGTAAGTCACCTCATGGCACACTTTTCCCAAGTTTAAGAATTTTCTTGGGTCTAAAGCTTTAAAAGCTTTTTTTAAAAAAAAAAAAGTCTTATTTTTACATTGTTTTAAGAGACCTACAGTTCATATTCCTACAGTTCATATTTCGAGCTTTTTAAAGGGGTCTCTGAATTGTTATAATGGTCTATATGAAGATAGTTGTATTTTCAAATTTTAAATAATGGCTAAGTGAAGTAAACCATTCATCATGGACTTTTTATATTGTGTGCGTGTGTGTATGTGTAAGCTCATTTATTATAATACTGTAGAAGCCTAACTCAACAATTCTCATCCACCAGCTTGGACCCGTTTATTCCCCGGTAGGTCACTCTGCTGGGCCTCACGAGGACCCCGTGGTTGGGCTTGCAGGTGAAGTAGCGTTTGTCTCCCACTGCCCCGTCATTCTTTCCTTTGGGGCTTCGAAGCTCCAGGCCCAGCCAGATCCCTGAGGCGAAGTCAGTGGGGCCCACGTACCTCACGGTGGCCATCTCGTTGGAGCTGGTGAGGAGGACCTGGGAGCCCTCGCGCAGCTTCACGCTGCCCTCCAGGCCGCCGGCCGCCATGCTGCTGCTCCAGCTGCGGTGCAGGGTGGGCTTCGACCTGTGCACAGGGGACCGAGGGAAACGCTTCAGCACGGAGCCGCAGGACGCCGTGCGCCATGCTCACTTCCACGGCCAGGTTCACAAGTCATTCACAAAACAGCACACTCGGCATTCACAACTTGATCTTTTCTATTCTACGTAGCAACATTAGGATATACTTTTGCTTCAAGTTTTTCTCTTCGGGTTATTTTAATGCTACCCTCATCTGGATTTAAGATTTAACTAGCAATTTATGTATGTGCACACACATTTTATACCTATTTAATGAAGCAAAAAGAATGAAACCTGGTATTTGGCCGTGGTAAATTAAAATTACCTTTTGTTCACCTTTCAAATATTTCTTTACATGAAAACCATTTTTAAAAACTTAATCCACAATTTTGGAAACTATACACACACACACACACACACACACACACACACACACACAGGCACCCCTTCTATGAAGGAACTCCAGTTACATTTAAGGGTTCGCCACTCCCCCTTGTCACTAACATCAGGAAGGATCTTAGTTGCCTAGAACAGGATTCCTCTCCTTTCCTCTACAACAAAACATTACTTACAAGGTACTGCCTCCGAGCACCCGCCACCCACATGACCTGATGACACAACTACTGAGCACCCACACACGCAGCCCAGGCAAGGCCTTGTGCCAGCACTGCCCGGAGCTTCTTCCACTGTCCCTGCAAGTAGCTAATCCTGAAACCTGCCCCAAATAGAAATATGACCAGGATCTTGTTGCTCTATAACCTGAGACCTCCCACAACAGTCATCCAGAAAGCACCACCATGAAGCCATCCACCCACCATCCACACCATCTCTCCACCAAGAGAAACCCTTATCCTGGCCACACAGTAGAGATTATAAGGAACCTGTTACCAAAACTGCACAAGCCTGATTGTGAGCAGAATCTGGGTCCTGCTTGTTTTCCATTTTATTTCACTCTCTGTATTTTTAAATACATTATCACATATCGTGTCTCATTTATACATACTTCTACCTATTAACGCTGGAGAAAGGAAGAGCACTCTAATTTTCTGGGTAGGAAAACTGAGGTAAAAAGCCTGTCCTATGCAATGGGAAAAAAAGATTATTTACCACATTGAATTTCCAAATATAATGATAAAGTTAACAAAGGAATACAAAATACGTGTGTGTGTGTATGTGTGTTTGTGTATATATATATACATCCTCCCCAAAGTGATATTTTTTGGCAACCTGATGAAATTACTCTGAATTTCACATGACAGTATCTACCACTTCCTAAGCACTTAATATGTGCCAAACACATACATTATCTCATCCAACCTCACCCAAACCAGTGAGGAATTAAAAGAGTTAAACTATTTGCATAAGGTCAGAGAGGTGGCAAAGAGGAGTGCTGGTATTCAGATCCAAGCTATCCAAGGACAAAGGCCAGGCTCTTGCTCACAATCGCAATGAGTATTAATAATTGAGAAAGTGTTGAAAGATAATAATATGGCAAAATTTGTTTTAAATTGATTATATTTCCTCAATAAGAGTATGCTTTTTAAAAAAAAAAAAAAAACAGGTACTAGTGTCAATCTGTAGAAGGATGAGTAAAGCTTCCTTTATTTTTATTTTCAAGGAAAACCAACAAAAGTGTTGATATTTTCTTCTCATGTCAATACATCATCTTGTACATATCCATACCTGCTGTATCATCCCCACGGTTCAGATTCCTCTCTCCTTCCCTGGTTTCTCTGTATCATGCTCTTCCACTCACCAACATCTTGATACTGATTTTGATACCTTTCCCCCTTCAAAATCCTTTATATCCTGGTTGTCTCTTCTTAGTAATTTCTTCCATTCTGCCTAAGAACTCTTGAATATCTTCAACAAACTGGAGCATAAAGTTATTGCCCTTAAATTCTTTCAGCTAGTCAAGTGAGGAGACCAATTTCAAAATCTCACAATTGATAAAGGTTTTGAGGAAGGTGGAGAAACAAAACCAAACCCACCCAACTCTGCTAAATAGTACCTGATAGTGCTTCAGCCCCCGTCAGGGTTCTCACGTGAAATCTCAGATCTTTGTGAGGCTTCCCAGCAACTACAGACCAGCTGATTACATAAACTAGCTGACTGATGCTCATCTGTTTGTTAAGTTCTAATGCATGGGCTGTAATTCCAGGTGGCTTTGAGGACCCCATGACTAATGCATGTCCCTAACTCAGCTAGATGTTTTCCCCTCAGGGCACGGTTCATAGATTAACTGGAAGAATTTAAAATTGAAAAAAATAAAAATCTTCTTAACCCAATCAGTTTAGAAGAGCCTCATATTCCTCAAAAAAAAAATTTTTGAAGTTTCTGAAAGTTTCAAATAACTATTATGGGGAATAAAGTGGGTCTGGGGGAAATAAATACAAATGAGAAAGAGAAAAAGGAGATTCTATCTACAAAGAAACAGCAATAAAAAAGCCTTTTGAGCAGTATATTCTACAAGAGGAAGCAGGAGTATTTTTTAAAATAATAGTAAGATTACCTTATGCAAATAGGCCTGACATTTTTTTTATGGACTCCCCAAAATAGTAAGTCAATTCTCTAATTAAGTAAACAGAGTATAAAATCAATCTACCCTGTTCAAAGATAACACAAAATGTAAATTCCTCCAACTTTTATTAATAGTACTAAGTCTCTTTGAAGATATATTCAGGATACTACCTTTAGTCATTGGTCACATTTTTAATTGAGCTTGCAAAGGAGGGACAAAGAACTCTTCTCACTGACACACTCATCACACCTCTTCTCCTAGGTGTTAAAATTCTACCATGCAATGTAAAAGATACAAAATTCTACTTTTCTTCCTTCACAGAATCCTGTCATGTTCATCTTGAAAGATGTTTTTCTAAATCTTCTTAATACTCACTTGGCAAAAGCATTTCTTCTGTTAATCTCTTTTTGGGAAGAAGCAGAAGTTGTACTGAAACTTCTCCTAAAACCTAAATATGAAAGTCAAGGTCAGAAGAGGAAAAATAAATCACAAATTCACAGTTCTCGTTAAAAGTTATCTTTTATCATTTCTTCTACAGACTTCTATTTTACTAAATGGTTCTTTGAAAACAGACAGAAAAGAAAATAAGTGCATGTAGAGTGTAACACAAGTATAGATTTCTTGACAACTGCTGTTTTACCTTTCTCATCAAACCATGCACTACATGAATAAGTCAAGATCATGACGTTACTTTTGGAAGTTTTTGTTGTAAACTTTGAATACCAAACAAAATCAGACTATACACTGAGAGAGTTGAATCTTTTTACTCTCAAATATTATAATCTTGATAAGTCACATTAAAAAACAGGATAAAAATGGTTTAAAAACACTATTACTAAATATATTGTGAACAATAAATTTCAGAGCTTCTGGTTTTTGGCATCCCCAAATGACAGAGTTCTTTAAAAAAAGAAGAAGAAGAAGACTTCACAGAAGGTAAATTTTTTAAAACATGTGTTTAAAAAAGAACAGGATTTCCAGTTCTGGCAGTTACAGCACACCAGATGTGCTGAATGAATCTCTTGAATGAAACAAGTATAATTTAAAACAACAATAATCTTAAAAAAAAATACTGTTGAGCTCATACAAGTGGCACAATTTTAAAAAGGCCAAAAACCAAAAAGAGAAACCATGAGGAGTTTCCCCCAAACAACCCACCACCCTGTACCCCAGGACTAGACTGCCCTCTGGAGAACCTGGGGCCTGCCAAGATGGGGTTCTGACAAAAGTGAGGGTCTTGAGCAACTCACCCTCAGTGTAAAGTTAAACAAGAAACAAAATGAAGCACCACTCAGATGAACACAAAGGAAAGCAGCCTGTGTCAACCCTACCGTGCAGAAGGCAAGTTCATTTTATCTGTGTAATATAAAGGCAACAACACTGCAGAGAATGTAAACTGAAGTTGGCAGTGCCTTGTAGGCAACTGGAAGCAGTAAATACAGGAGGACCTCAGAGCAACTGCAGGCTCGGTTCCAGACCACCACAATAAAGCAAGTAACAAAGTGAGTCACAGACTTTTCGGTTTCCCAGCACATAAAAAAGTTTACACTACACTGTAGTCTATGAAGTGTGTGATAGCATGACATCTTAAAAAAAATGCATGTACCTTAATTTAAAAATACCTTATTGCTAAATACTGCTATCCATCATCTGAGCTTTCAGTGAGTCACAATCTTTTTGCTGGTGGAAGGTCTTGCCTCAATGTTGATGCCTGTTGACTGATCAAGGTGAAGGTTGCTAAAAATTGGGGTGGCTGCAGTAATTTCTTAAAATAAGGCAACAATGAAGCTTGCCACATTGATTGACTCTTTCACAAATGATTTCTCTGTGCAGCATACCTGTTTGATAGCATTTTACCCACAGCAGAACTTCTTTAAAATGGAAGTCAATCCACTCAAACCCTGCTGCTGCTGTATCAACTGAGTTTATGTACTGTTTGAAATCCTTTATCGTCATTTCAACAATCTTCACAGTATCTTCACCAGGAGTAGATTCCCCCTCACAAGCCACTTTCTCTGTTCATCCATAAGAAGCAATACCTCATCTGTTCAAATTTTATTATGAGACTGCAGCAATTCAGTCACACCTTCAGGCTCCATTTCTAGCTCTCTTGCTATTTCTACCACATCTCCAGTTACTCCCTCCACTGAAGTTGTGAACCCCTCAAAGTCATTCATAAGGGCTGCAATCAACTTCTGCCAAATTTCCATTAATGTTGATATGTGAACCTCCTCCCATGAATCATGAATATTTTTAATGACACCTAAAGTGGTGAATCCCTTCCAGAAGGTTTTCAATGAACTTTGCCCAGATCTAAGAGAAGAATCACTATCTCTGGTAGTCACAGCTTTATGAAAAGAATTTATTACATACTAAGAGTTGGAAGTCTCAAAATGACTCCTTGACTCACAGGCTACAGAATGGATGTTGTGTCAGCAGGCATGAGAACATTAATTTTATTGTACATGTCCATCAAAGCTCTTGGGTGACCAAGTGCATTGTCAATGAGCAGTAATATTTTGAAAGGAATCTTTTCTTCTGAGCAGTAGGCCTCAACAGTGAGCTTAAAATATTCAGTACGCCATGTTATAAATAGATGTGCTATCCTCCAGGCTTTATTATGCCATTTATAGAGCACAGGCAGAGTAGATCTAACATAATTCTTAAGGGCCCTAGGATTTTCAGAATGGTAAGTGAACATTGACTTCAACAAAGTTACCCACTGCATTAGCTACTAACAGGAAAGTCAGCCTAGACTTCCCTGATGGTCCAGTGGCTAAGACTTTGAGCCTCCAATGCAGGGGGTGCTGGTTTGATGCCTGGTCAGGGAACATGATCCCACATGCCACAACTAAGAGTTTTCATATCACAACTAAAGAGCCCACATGCCACAATTAAGACCTGATGCAGCCAAATCAATCTTTTTTTTTTTTTTTTTTAAAAAAAGGCTACCCCTTCATTGAAGCCTCACATTGACTTCTCTCTAGCTGTGAAAGTTCTAGATGACATCTTCTCCAATACAAGACTGTATCATCTACATCCAGGGATTCCCAGGTGGCTCAGTGGTAAGGAATCCACCTGCCAATGCAGGAGACATGGGTTCAATCCCTGGGTTGGAAAGGTCCCCTGGAGGAGGAAATGGCAATCCACTCCAGTATTCTTTTTTTTTTTTTTTTTAGTTTATTTATTTATTTTTTTCACTCCAGTATTCTTCCCTGGAAAAATCCCATGGACAGAGGAGCCTGGTGGGCTACAGCCCATGGGGTTGCAAAGAGTTGGTCATGACTGAGCACACACACGTACCCATGTCTACATTGAAAACCCACTGTTTAGTGGAGCCACTTTCATTAATGAGCTAGCCAGATCTTCTGGATAACTTGCTTCAGCTTCTACATCAGCACTTGCTGCTTCACTTTATGCTTTGATCTTATGGAAATGGCTTCTTTCCTTAGACCTCATAAACAAACCTCTTCTGACTTCAAACCTTTTCTTCTGCAGCTTCCTCACCTCTCACGGCCTTCACAGAATTGAAGAGTTAGGGCCTTGCTCTGGATTAGATTTTGGCTTCAGGGAATGTCGTGGCTGCTTTGATCTTCTCTCCGGACCATTAAATCTTTCTCTGCATCAGCAATAAGGTTGTTTCTTACCATCTGTGTGCTTACCGAAGTAGCACTTTTAGTTTCCTTCAAGAAGTTTTCCTCTGCAGTCACAACATGACTAACCGTTGGTACAAAAGGCCAGCTTTTGACCTATCTCTGCTTTTGATGTGCCTTCCCCACTAACTGTAATCATTTGCAACTTCTGAATTAAAGTGGGAGACATGAGACTTTTCCTTTCCCTTGAACACTCAGAGGCCATCGCAGGGTTCTTTATTGTCCTACTTTCAATACCGTTGGTTTTCAGGGGACGGGGAGGCCCAAGGAGGGGGAAAAAATGGAGCAACAGCCAGTTGTGGAGCAAGTCAGAACATACACATTTATCAATTCAGTTCGGTTTGGTCGCTCAGTCATATCTGACTCTTTGTGGCCCCATTGACTGCAGCACACCAGACTTCCCTGTCCATCATCAACTCCTGGAATTTACTCAAACTCATGTCCATTGAGTTGGTGATGCCATCCAACCACCTCATCCTCTGTCATCCCCGTCTCCTCCCATCTTCAGTCTTTCCCAGCATCAGGGTCTTTTCAAATGAGTCAGTTCTTCACATCAGGTAGCCAAAGTAATGGAGTTTCAGCTTCAGCATCTGTCCTTCCAATGAATATTCAGGACTGATTTCCTTTATGATGGACTGATTGGATCTCTTTGCTGTCCAAGGGACTCTCAAGAGTCTTCTCCAACACCACAGCTCAAAAACATCATTTCTTTGGCGCTCAGCTTTCTTTATAGTACAACTCTCACATCCATTCATGACTACTGGGAAAACCATAGCTTTGACTAGATGGACGTTTGTTGATTTTTTGATCAGCTTTGCCATTTTATATGAATGAGGTTCACCATGCCTCAAAAAAATTACAACAGTAACATCAAAGATTACTGATTGCAGATTCACCACAACAAATATCATAATAACGAAAAAGTCTGGGGCTTCCCTGGTGGCTCGGTGGTAAGGAATCAGCCTGCCAATGCAGAAAACATGGGTTTAGTCCCTGGTCTGGGAAGTTGCCACATGTTATGGAGCAACTAGGCCCATGTACCACAACTACTGAGCCTGTGCTCTAGAGCCTGGGAGCTATGTGCTGCAACTACTGAAGCCCACGCGCCCTAGAGCCTGAGCTCCGCAACAGGAGAAGCCACCACAATGGGAAGCCCCCATCTGCCACAACTAGAGACATGCCTGTGTAGCAGCAAAGACCAGCACAGCCAAAACTAAAACTTAAAAAAAATTAATGTTAAAAAAAGAGTTCAAAATTTCAAATTTAACCCCTGTCTCTGGGCTAAAATGCAACCCAGAGACATAAAGTAAGCAAAATGCTATCGGAAAAATGATGCTGAGAGACTTGTTCAAGGCAGGTTACCACAAACCTTCTATTTGTAAAAAAAAAAAAAAAAGAAAGAAAAAAAATATATATATAAAATATCTGAGCACAAAAAAAGCAAAGCACAATAAAACAAGATATGCCTGTATAATCTTCTTGAGAGGCATCAACCCAGGCTTCAGAGAATTTCCATATATTAAATTCTAAGTAGGTAAAATAAGTATTTCACAATAAATTACAAAACTCACAAGGAAAGAAAAAGTACCACAAGTTAGGATATTGAAGATATCAGATATTGAAGTATTAAACATAAAAGGTAACAATATTTAAAATGCTTAATAACATAAAAGAAAAAATCTTGAAAATATAGGAAAAGAATAAGTGACAATAAGTAATAACCACACAGACTTACAAAAAGAAAACAAATGAAAAATTTATAATTAAAAACCTTTGTGGCTGAATTAGGCAGTAGTATAAATATAGCAGAAGAAAGAAACAGAAAGGTAACTCTGAAAATATCCAAAATGCAGTCAAGAAAGAGAAAGTTCTGAGAACTATAAGCTAGGCATGGGAAAGTGAAAAACTGGCCTATCCTACTCATCAGAGTTTCAAAAGGAGATAATAAAGAGCATGAAGAAAGAAATATTTTCAAAATATGAAGAAGAATTTTACACAGTAAATCAAAGATACTAATTCCCAGATCCAGGAAGACTCAAGATGCCAAACAGAATAAACAAAGGGAAATCTCCACCTAGGCACAATCAGAGTAAAACTGTACAAAACAAAGCAAACAGAAAGGATCTTAAAAAGCAGTCAAAAAGCGGAGATAAACCACCTACCATCACTTCATGGCAAATAGATGGGGAAACAACAGAAACATAGACAGACTTTATTTTCTTGGGCTCCAAAATCACTGCAGATGGTGACTGCAGTCATGAAATTAAAAGATGCTGCTCCTTGGAAGAAAAGCTATGATCAACCTTGACAGCATATTAAAAAGAAGAGACATTACTTTGCCAACAAAGGTCAGTATAGTCAAAGCTATGGTTTTTCCAGTAGTCATGTATGGATGTGAGAGTTGGACTATAAAGAAAACTGAGCACCAAAGAATTGGTTCTTTTGAACTGTGGTGTTGGAGAAGACTCTTGAGAGTCCCTTGGACTGCAAGGAGATCCAACCAGTCCATCCTAAAGGAAATCAGTCCTGAATATTCACTGGAAGGACTGATGCTGAAGCTCCAATACTTTGCCCACCTGATGCGAAGACCTGACTCACTGGAAAAGACCCTGATGCTGGGAAAGATTGAAGACAGGTAGAGAAGAGGACAACAGAGGATGACATGGTTGGATGTCATCACCGACTCAGTGGACATAAGTTTGAGCAAGCTCCAGGAGATGGTGATGCACAGGGAAGCCTGGCGTGCTGCAGTCCATGGGGGTCACAAAGAGTCGGACACGACTGAATGACTGAACTGAACTGAAACCATCTAAAATGATACAGATTAGACAGACTCATAGCTGACTCCTCAAAACACTGACAGAAGACAGAAAACAGAAGAATGATAATGTCAATGTGCAGAGAGAAAACAGGTTTCAAACTAAAAATTCCATCAATTTTTACTTTTACCTGGTAAAACTATCATTAGGAAAGACAGTTAAAAACAGAGCATTTGCTACCAATAGGCCTTTTCTTAAAGAAATTTTTAAGAATACAAATGAGTTAAAAACAAAATGATTTCAAGAGGAAATTCAGAGGATTTATGACTAAAGATATTAGTAAATATGTATAAGCAAATTAAATAAATATCAATTATATAAAAACTAGTATAATAATGTGAAATTTGTGAGGAAAGTAAAATAGAAAAAGAATAACTCAATTTCTAAGGATTTTCTATTATTTGGAAAACAGTAAACATAATAATTGACTTTAAGCTTTGTTAAGTATGTATGTCAAAGTACCTACAGTAATTACTAGGAAGCATATTTATAGAGCATAACTTTTATACAAGTAGAAAACAAAATGAGAAAAATAGAGGGTAGGAATATAAACAGAATGAAGTCAAGAGAGAAAAACATTTAAGTACAAAAAAGTTGAAATATTAGAAAAATTAAATAGCATAAATAAACCCAAATATATTAGTTATACAATGAATGCAAATAGGTAAAACTCTCAGATTAAGAGACAAAGATTGTCTTTTTTTAAAAGTAAAATCCAGTTATATTCTATTTAGAAGATATTCCAAAAACATGAGGACATAGAAACATTAAGGCAATGGCTAGAAAAAAAGTTTTAGGCAAATACTTAACCACAAGAAGGCTGATACAAGGTAAAGAGAATTATTATAAAGCAATACCACTGACATTAACACCAAAATAGAAGAACCGTGTTGGTAAAAATCTAATAAAATGCATATAAAATCTATATTAGGAAAACCATGAAACTGATGAAAGAAATCAAAGATCTAAATAAATGAACAAGTATTCCATGTTCATGGGTAGGAAAATTCAATACTGTTAAGCCATCAGTTCTTCACAATTTCATCTATACATTCAATGCAATCCCAATGAAAATACCAGCAAATTATTTTGTAGCCATCAACAAACCAGTTGAAATGTTTACACAGAAAGGCAAAAAGCCCAGAATAACCAACTCTAAATTGAGGAAGATGATCAAAGTCTATTACTACAATTGAAGAATCTCTGTAAAGCTACAGTAATCAAACAATGTGGTATTAGCAAAGAAAAAGACAAATAGATCAACAGAATAGAATAAAGGGCCCAGAAATAGACTCACACAAACACAGTCAACTGCTCTTTGACAAAAGAGCAAAGGCAATTCAACAGAGAAAAGACAGTCTTTTTAACAAATACGCTGGACCAACCAACATTTGCATCCAAAAAAAAAAAAAAGAATCTAGACATAGACTTACACCTTTCACAAAAATTAACTCAATGAATCATAGATATAAATGTTAAGACCCAAAACTATGAAACTAGAAGATAACATAGGAGAAAATTAGGGTAACCTTGGGTTGAAGACATTTTCAATACAAAACCAAAAGCACAAGTCATGAAAGAAAAAACTGATAACTTGGACTTCATTAGAATTAAAAAGTTCTGCTCTATAACAGACACTATTCAGACAATGAAAAGCCAAGTCAGGGGAGGAGCCAAGATGGCGGAGGAATAGGACGGGGAGACCACTTTCTCCCCTACAAATTCATGGAAAGAACATTTGAACGCTGAGCAAATTTCACAAAACAACTTCTGATCGCTAGCAGAGGACATCAGGCGCCCAGAAAAGCAGCCCATTGTCTTCGAAGGGAGGTAGGACAAAATATAAAAGATAAAAAGGGAGNCTGTGGGAGAAGGCGAGGGTGGGATGTTTCAAGAGAACAGCATGGAAACATGTATATTATCTAGGGTGAAACAGATCACCAGCCCAGGTTGGATGCATGAGACAAGTGCTCGGGCCTGGTGCACTGGGAAGACCCAGAGGGATCAGGTGGAGAGGGAGGTGGGAGGGGGGACCAGGATGTGGAATACATGTAAATCCATGGCTAATTCATTTCAATGTATGACCAAAAAACCACTGCAATGTTGTAAAGTAATTAGCCTCCAACTAATAAAAATAAATGGAAAAAAAAAGCCAAGTCACAAAATGAGCAAAAACATAACTTTGCTATTTTGACTACTTAAAAATTAAAAGCTTCTGCTCATCAAAAGACATCAAAAAAGGGAGGGAAAGGGGACAAAAGACAAGTCAAAAAAAGGGGAAAGATATTTGCAACAAACAAAACAGGCAAAATATTAGTGCTCAAAATATATAAAGAAGCCTACAAATTAAAAAGATAAAAACAAACCAACACCCCCCCAAAAAAAATAATGAGCAGGAGACCTGAACAGGTATGTCATAAAAAAGGCACAATGTATGTGGTCCATAAACACGGAAGTGGGCTCAACTTCATTTGTAATCTGAAAACCACAAATTGAAACCACAAGGAGATGCCATTTATATCCTTCAGATGGGCAAAGACTTCTAAATCAAACGGGACTACTGTTGTTGAGGTGAGGAGTGGCAAAGACGCTCATCCATTCCCATGTGGACAGTCTGACACACTAGGAAGGCTGAAGATATGGATATCCCATGCCTGGAAATCCTAGAGGAACTTTTGTAAATGTGTACAATGGCATAGCTTCTGAATGGTAAAAAAATGCGATATAACTCAAATATAGAATGGATAATGTATTTTAGGGCTTCTCAGATGGTGCTAGTGGTAAAGAACCTGCCTACCAATGCAGGAGACATAAGAGACATGGGTTCGATCCCTGGGTTGGGACAACCCCCTGGAGGAAGGCATGGCAACCCACTCCAGTATTCTTGCCCCATGGACAGAGGAGTCTGGTAGTCTATAGTCCATAGGGTCACAATGAGTCAGACATGACTGAAGCGACTTAGCAAACAAGCACAATATATTTTAATGGAGCATTACATAGCATGATTTCCCAGATGGCTCAGATGGTAAAGAATCTGCCTGCAATGTGGGAGACCTGGGTTCGATCCCTGGGTCAGAAAGATCCCCTGGAGAAGGGAATGGCAACACACTCCAGGATTCTTGCCTGGAGAATCCCATGAACAGAGGAGGCTGGCAGGCTATAGTCCATGGGGTCGCAAAGAGTCAGACACGACTTAGCAATTTAACTACCATCACCACTACACAACACAGTAAACAACAATCAAAACTAAACATACATTATTTACTGACATCTATATATGATGCATAGACATTAAAACAATCAAGGGAACATTAACATACAATGTAAGATACATAACCTGGAGACAGGACATATGAAAAAGGCAGGCAGATGAGACTGGGCAATACTCAGGACATACAGGTAATCATCTTTGGCCATGGGATGGGTAATAGATATTGCTTTATGATTATATAACTATACAAATGTATTTCATATATTCTTCTGTATATACATATACTTTACAATTTTAAAAAGTTCAATAAAGGAAAAGAAAAGGAATAATTATTAGGAACACAAAATCATAATCTTACCAGGATAAGAATGATTCTGTTTATTTGAAGAAATTTCTGAAAGAGTATCCAGGGAATCTGTTACTCTGTGAATGAAAGAAGGAATGCAAACCTAATTAGAAGCAGCTGGTCTTCATATTTAAGACTGGCGCTTAACTGAGGGTTTCACAACAATGGCTTTATCTTTTTTTTTTAACTTTTTGATTTGTATTGGGGTATAATCAACTGACAATGCTGTGATAGCCTCAGGTGAACGGCGAAGGGACTCAGTCATACATATACATGTATTCAATGGTCATTTCTTATTTTACTCACTGGACAAGCATTTACTGAGTATTTATTAATAAGCCAGAAATGAATTTCAATTTAGCACCAGAGACAGGCACTAATCAAACAGAAGAAGTCCTTGTTATATAAGGGTAGCAAGTTATATAAGGATAGCAAGTACAGAGAAAGTCAACTTCAAGTGAATTCATTTCAAATAGGGGCCCAACTTTGTTTTCTTGGAGCTTCATTTTCAAAGATGGAACTAAAAAAGGTGAAAATTTATTTTACGTTAAATATGGCAAATGTTAGGTTGTAATTATAAATACATTACATTTTTATATTGAAAAAAATCAGACAAATCAGCTGAGTCTGTGTATATATGTGATTTTTCTTATAAAACCAACATCTTTTATGTTATATTTGACTCTAAGCACAATCATAAAGGACACATTCTTTATAGGTCTATTTTTTTGATATTTAAATAATTTATTACTTTTAAAAAGCCAATCCCATAACAGTCTCATTTTCTTTCAACTGTTTACTGACCTAAACCAGAAAAGTCTTCATTCTATCCATCACTTGTTCCAGCACACTTTGTTACCATAAAGGAATCCTGCAACTCTTGCATTAATTGTAACTTCATCTTGCAATCCATGTGCATCATCTTTACATGATACATAACATAGAGCAATCAATGAGAGACTAATGAATGCAAAGAATATGACCTGATGAAGCAGAGAGATACTTGAATTTAGTTGTGATGGAGAGTTGAGAACTTAATTCTAAAAGTGATCAGTTCATTAGTAAGAAGTACCTAATGGTATGAACTAAGAATAAGAAAATTAATACTATGCTGAGCAAAAACCACTTGAGCAAAAAAGAGAGAGAGAGAGATTAGATCTAGTCACTGAGTCTCAGAATTTCTCTAAAGAAATACTGGCTTTTATATATGTTGATAGAAGAAAAGGAATTAGCTAGACAATAGTTGAGTGATTGCAGAAAGCCATCCAAGCAAAGGAAGTAATATGTGCAAAGATTCTGGGAAAGGGGCACATTTTTTTTAATAGAAATGTTTTTGTTTTTTTTTTAAAGAGAAAAAAAAAAAGGCAAACAACAGTCTGGGGAGGAGAGTGATGCAAGGTGAGGTGTTGTGATTGGTCACTGTGTGATTAACAACTGTTCTCAGGAGTCCCTTCATGAAGATCAGTGTGATTGTTAAAGAGCTCCCAAGCTGGTTTAAATTAGAAACTCCTCAAAATCAGGCATCATGTCTGTTTTATTTGCTTATAGAATGCCAAGCACAGCACAAAGTGCTAAAAGACACTTAATAGTATTTGATGATGATGAATGAGACAATCAGAAGATGACAGGAAGACAGCTGGTTGGAGACAGCAGTTCATTTAGAGAGAGCCGTGCTTCGTCTGAAGATGAGGGGACTGCTTTTAAATGAATCACCTTAAAGAAGACCAAATATATGCCCCCCAAAAAGAAAGCAAAAAATGTGTGTTCCATAAACAAAGCAATAAAAAGAAGATAAAACTTGGAGAGAGAAAGTGGCTTCGCAATGTAACAGAGAAGAAAGCTGTTACAGCATAAAAGACACTGAAGGAAAGTTCATCAATATTTACTGTGTGCACAATATGCCAAACTATATTCGTTGGGTAGACAAATATGGAACAGAGAAGCCCAGTCCTCATGACTAGGAGACAAATCAAACTTCTAAGAGACTGTAGCAATGTGCTAATGAAGATTTGTTCAAAGTAATATGAGAATCCAGAAGACTAACTGGTGACTCAGTATGGATTTTATTCCCAAATCAATCACTTATAAGTTACAGGTACTGAAGAGAGTCACGGAGCCTCTTTTAACTATAATAGGATAATGGTTAAGAGCACACACTCTTATACTAGACTCTCTGGGCTCAAATCTTCACTTGGGCCCTGGGCACAGTTCTACACCTCACTAAGCTCTCTGTGCCTTACTTTCCCACGTGTGAAATAGGGATAATTATGGTACCCAACACACAGGGTCACTGTGTGTAAACAATACATAGAAAGCACTTAAAATAGTGCAGCACATCTAAGTGCCACCAGTTACCGTCTCTTTTGCTTTATTTATAAAATAACTACCAAAAGGCCCCCTGCAAACTATCTAAAAGCAAGGGCTTAGGGAAAAGCAAAGTAACAAACCTGGGCTGAATCCAGCTCCACCATTAACTAGTATGGGAGATCAAAATACCTTACCCCAAACAGGCTGCTCTAGCACAAGGGATTATTTTGAGCTAAAGACATTCAAGAATAAACAAATGCAAAAAGAGGCTTTCTCTGAACTCCCCTTATCTGCCTATAACAGATCTCCCCAAAGAAGAACTCAATTGTCATAAATCCCCTCCCCAGAATTTCATCAAGCATGGAAGACTGACTTGCATCACAGGAGAGGAGATGGGGAGTTAACACCACACCCAGACAGACACTGTCACAGACTATCACATCCCCATCCACTTCCCTAAAGGCCCACTGATCTTCCCTAACATCATCTGCTCTCCCATAAGCGGCCTTTCTCCCCCGTCCCTTCCCCCATTAAGATGGTCTATAAATTCCCCAATGTCACCATCCTTTTGGGCATTCACCACTTTCTGTGAGGCCCCCATGCATTAACATTTAATAAATGCTATGCCTTTTCTTCTGTTTATCTGTTGTCAGTTTAATTCACAGACTCTGTCCCCTCCAGTTAGTGAACGTAAGATGGTAAGGGACAAGTTTTTCATCCCCTACACCAGCTACATGACTTTAGCAGTTACTGTATCTCATGAAACTTTTTTTGCCTGCAAAATAGGAATAATCATAATACCTTATATCTCATGGGTCTGGGGGAAATTGATGAAGTACACGGTACAGAGCCCACCACTCATTAAATGATCAGTAAATGTTTGTAGAGATCCTCTTCAACTTACAATGGAGTTATGTCCCAACGAACCCATCTTGAGTTGAAAATGCATTTGATACACCTAACCTGCTGGACATCATCACCTAGCCTTGTCAACCTTAAACATGCTCAGAACACTGTCATGAGTCTACAGTTTGGCAAAACCATCTAACACCAAGCCTACTTTACAATCAAGTGTTGAATGTCTCATTTAAGTTATTGAATACTGTACTTAAAGTGAGAAACAGAATGGTTGTGTGGGTACAGAAGGATCGTAGGTGCCTGGGTTGTTCACCTTCCTGATCACGGGGCTGATTGGGAGCTGCAGCTGCTGCCCTGCCCAGCCTCATGACACTGTATCATACTGCGCATGGCTAGCCCGGGGAAAGATCAAAACTCAAAATCTGAAGTATAATTTCTACTGAATTCTTACCACTTTTGCACCATCATTAAGTCTAAAAATTGTAAGCTGAACCACTGTAAGTCAGGGACCATCGGCAGTTATTCTTTTCTAGTTTACCTGGCTAAATACTTATTAAAATCAAACAAAACATTTAATTGAAGGTACTTTGTCAAGTACTTTGCAGTTAACTTATAACTGCAAAGCATTACAAGTTAAATGTTACAAAATCATAAATAACAAGAAAAGGATTATATCAAGTACATCATAGAAGAAGGAAAAGAATACAAAAATTATATGTAACTATTCATTAAAAAAAATGAGAAAGAAAATGGATATGAAAACTATTAAACTTGCCAGGAGGCAGTCACACAGTCCAGTTGGAAGGGGATGAGACGGGACCCCCAGGTTGAGATGGCAGGTCTATTCTCATGTGATTGTACCATACGTGTTACTGCCTATTTAAAGATATCAGGCCAACTTCTTTCAGCATATTAAGTCATTTCACACAGTTTACCTAGAATTTCACAAGGACTTGTTTCTGCTCAACTTAAAACCCAGAGTGAGCTGGAGCAAAAGTGTACTATCTTCGGAAGAAACACCGAGGAGGTATATTATATATAAATACTTGAAGCTTCACTTCCCCCCAAAAGATGTACTGCCTATCTATTTTTGAAAACTAAAGAAATCAGAGGAAAAAGCCATTTTGCTTCCATTAGGTTTGTAGGAGAATGAATGGGGTGCCTGCTGGCAGGAAATTTAATGTAGTTAGGATGTGACTGAAGCAATCAGAGAGCATTTTCACTTTTGTTTGCATGACAGATTAAGCTTGCTGCTCTCGCTGTTCTGAGCAGCAAACACCACTCCTAATAGCCTACACATACTCATAGGGTTTGCAAATGAGGAATAAAGGAGGTTTTTAAAATTGCAAATCCTCAGCAAAGCAAATTTAGCTTTCCATGAGCCTACCCTCTGAAGAAGGCGGTGGTGAACCCCTGAAAGAAGACATGGTCTGTAGTGAGTGCACTACAGAGTTAGTGACTCTAACTCGCTGTGCATTACAAAAAGCTCTTGTTAATAATGTAAATTTCATTTTTTTCTCACCTTTGAACCCTGGATGGGGGAGCAAATATTCCATATCTTGGGGAACAACTAAAATACTGCACACCTCCAACTGAACCATCATTCTTGCCATGGGGTTTCTCAAGCTCTATCCCGTACCAATATCCTAGAACAAGAATACTGGATTTTAAAAGCATCTGTACTTTATCCAAAACTGTTATGTTATTATACAAACCCACAGTCTAGATGGTTTAACATTCTCACACATGACCAAAGTGATGGAAGATCACTGTTATCATTAAGCCTTCAAACAATAAAATTATTAAACAAAATTTGAAAGTTTCAAAAATGAACCAGAAAAACATTTCACAAGCATAATTGCAGAGCTGTACATTAAGGGAGAAAGACAAAATGCACAAACACAAATTTGGCAAGGATTAGCTATTATGCAAGTAGTGTTTGACCAAAATATATCTAAAAGCTATAATAAGAAATTGTCCTTAACTTGGTAATATAGTCTGTTTGAGATGGGAGCAATGTAGCATAGTATTGAGATGCATGAGACATAAAATGAACATGCAATCTTTTCATTTTACTCTCCCAACATGAGAATACCACAAACAGTTCTTAAATAATTAAAGAGGGACAAAAATAATATGGAAAATTACTAGACTTCATGGTGATTCTTCTTTTTCTTTCATTTTTTCCCCACCCAAGATGGGGAAAAAAATCATTTTTAACCTAAAAGATTTAGGTTAGCTAATAGGAAGAATTTTCTAAAAGGCTTTCAAGTATTTAAAAGGGCATTCTGAGGAGAGTAATGGGATTTCCTTTTCCAGAGAGCATAAAATTAAAACAGTGAGGTTGCTTTTAGTGTGGCAAATATTAAATAAAAGGACACAGACTCCTAGAGTAATGGCTCTGGATGAAGGTAACTCCAAATTAGTTAAATGTACCTGACAGTCCACTCATTTCTTATTTAAAAGGGGAACACAATAGTGATTGTATTTGGTCTCTCAGAATCAGTGTCAAATAAACATATGGATATTGAGAAATTTACTACAAATGACAAAATATGGAATATTGTTTCCTTCAGATTAATAATGTAGAGAGTCAATTATATAACCTCTAAAATGACAAACCAGAAGTTCTTAACTTTTTTTTCCTCTTATATTCAAAATGATGACACTTGAGTCGATTCCCGATATCGGAGTTTGAATTGGAAAGACTAGTATAAGGCATGTGGTAGTCTTTTATACTGAAACAACCTACTCTGCACAGGTACAAAGAGATGTATACAGACCTACTGCTTGGCCATATTAATGCTGGGCACTGCATTTCTGAATGTCATTAAACCAGGTTATTCTGGCTGCCACTGTTATTTCTGAGTGCCACAGTTCCAATTTTCCAAGTTTTATGTCCTCCTGCCTTTGATGCTTTCCTATATAATTTGTACATTTTCCCATTTTAATACACCATATCACTGCTACATGTTTGCCATATACCTCTTGAAAGTATATAGCACACAGCAGGAAGGCATTACAGCAAATGTTAACAAGAGTGACTACACAGTGTCTGGCAGTCGTGAGGGAAGGACGTCACCCCACGTAACCAGCACCTTCCTTTCAGAGGTAGCACTGATGGCTAACCATGCCCTCTGTCAGGTCTAAGTCTCATAATCTATAAAAAGGCTAGATATTACCACTGTTCTATAGAACTGACTGATCTATATTTTGACGCCGCAAGAAATATATCCTACTACTTTCTGAAAGGGCAGAAGGACTTTAACAAAAAATCTCCAGTATTTATACTGCTTATTTGTTGTTCAGTCGCTAAGTCATGTCCAATTCTTTGCCACCTCATGGACTGCAGCACACCAGGCTTCTCTGTCCTTCAGTGTCTCCCGGAGTTTGCTCAAACTCATGTCCAATATCTGATTATTACTTTTCAGATTTCTAAGCGTTCTATGTATACGCAGTCACTCAGTCATGTCCAACTTTTTGCAACCCCATGGAAAACTGTAGCCCGCCAGGCTCTTCCACCCATGAAATTTTCCAGGCCAGAATAATGGAGTGGGTTACCATTTCCTACTCCAGGGAATCTTCCCGACCCAGGGATCTAACCCCTGTCTTTTGCATCTCCTGCACTGGCAGATGGATTATTTACCATTGCACCACCTGGGAAGCCCTAAATGCTCTTTACTAGGAGTTCAAAACTTAAAAGCCAACCTAAAAACAACTGTATCCAAATGAATCAAACCATTCAAGCCTTGTTTAGTAAAACCAGAGAAAGGAAACTGAGAAGACATGATGATGGTGGAAAAATAAACTGCCTTTGGCATTTCTAAGTTTTTATTTGAGAACCATATTAAGAACATTCTAACTAATCTCGGTTACTACCTCAGTTGCTACTACTATTTCGAGAAACATGAATTATAAAACATACAGCCCATCCCCAATCAATTAGTAACTGGACCACAATTATAAATTGTACTAATGAAACGAGAATGTGCTAGGAGACCATTCTCTGTCCATGTCTTATGGAGAGAGGTGCTGACCATGTTTTCACAGACGTTTGCAGAGAAGACAGCCTCAGGAGATGGAGACAGTCTCCTGGCAAGAGGACAGGTATACTTACTGTCTCTATAAAGGTTCAGGTTCCTTAAGCGTGGGGCTCCTCTCCTGTACTACTGGGTTACAGGGGTCACTCGGCCCTCCTCCTTATCTTATTCTCTGGGAACTGGGGCCCAGGAAGCCAACAGAAGAAAATGTTGCCACTCTAGCTATCATTATTGATGAGAGCACTGAGGTTCTCTGCCTCTGACCCAGGAGTCTACCATCTTCTGCCAGCATTGATGGAACCGTGGTCATCCATATTGCAAATAAGGTAAAATCTCAGATCTTTCAGAGTTCCTGACAGAAGACTACAAACTTTTTAAAAAAAAAATCAGTGTTCTCAGTAACCTTTTCCTAAAAAATCCTGCAATGCCACCATGTGTCAACACGGCATATTGCTATTTAAAAATACAAATGTTTTATTCAACTGGCTTCTATTTGAAATTACAATCACCAAAAATACAAAAGAAAGATTATCTTCACATTTGGAAACACAGTATTAAGTTTAGATTGGAATGAATATATAAATACACAAACATGCATCTTTAAGGTCCCAGGGTGCGCAAAACCTTTTTCATCTCTCCTTTCATCTCCTTTGAACCTCTTTGTTTGCTTTTCTCTCTAAGCCATTCTGTTAAAAGCTATATGCAATGAACTCATTATCCACTCATTTTAAAGAATGTGCTTAGCACAAATCTAATCCTAAAATGTTTTCTCTGTTATTTAGCACATTTGGCAATCAGTGAGAGTGAAACTGGAGAGTAACAACTGATTTTAACTTTAACAATGTAAAACACAATTGGCAGGAAAAATTCATAAGAAATAATCAACCTGCGTGAAAACAGTCTGCATCTGAATCAACATTTTGCATTTTCTGTGCCAGAGCGACCATCCATAAGAACTATTAATCAAGAATTCTACATTTCATTTACATGTAAATTCTAAAACCTTTTGTATTCTAAAGAATTCAAGTTGAGCAAAGACTATACAGGTGAGTTACCTGGAGCAAAGTTTGTTGTCCCAAAGAACTTAATGGTACCAATTCTCTGGCCTGCCACCAACACCCTGTCTCCAATTCGGAGGTCTCCTTCGCAGCGCCCGCTATTTGCTACAGATGCTGCTGAGGAATTCAAACCTGTGTGGGGATTGGTTGGGGAAGGGGGTGGGACAGGAAGAGAGAGAAAAAACAAAGGGACACTCAAAAACCACATTAGCCAAAAAATGACTATGTATCCTAACCAGTCTCCTTAGTTGGGGTTTCAATATATGCTGCTTTCTTCCTTATACACAGCTATAGTTGTGTTTCTCACGTGTGAAGGAAAGCTACTCAAATGAAATTTGAAGGGTTTCCTGAGACGACCATTGCTCTGGGAACTTACACAGGACACCTAGTGAAGCATCAACTTTATTCTGACTTCCTGGGGGCACTCTCTACAAGAACAGAGGTCAGCACACCCTTTGTGTAAAGGGCTATATAGTAAACACTTCAGGCTTTGCAAGCCACGCTACCCTGTCACAACTGTTCAACTTTGCTGTTGTAGCTCAAAAGCAGAGACAAAATGAGCACAATGTGTTCCAGCAAAACTTTATTTACAAAAGCAGGTGGTAGGTTGGATTTGGCCCATGGGCTGCAGTCCACCAATCTCTATTCTAGTAAAATGGTAGAATCATAATAGTTCAGTGGGACTTGGTGTAAATGATACATACACAAATGTAATTTAAAAGTGGAACTGCTGTAAGGTTCCAATGACCCCCAAACTGATTTCCTTATTAGAAACAAAAGCACACACCACCTTGCCTCAGACCTTGATTCAAACCTAAACCCTGAAGTGCCCACTCCTGAACATCAGACGTTCTAGAGCAGCACTGTCTAGAAAGCTGCTCAATTATAACAGAGGACAGGTGGACCTCTGAGGCTTCTCCCAGCAGTTCAAAAAACAGATTGGAATGGCTGTCATCTGAGAAGGGCTGGGGAACCCTCTGTGAGGGTACTGGATACAGGGAAAGTCAGTCTGTGAACAGGGAGAAACTAAAAACATGGCAACAACTGAAGAACACAAACCCAGGAAGAAGGAAGGTCTAGATCAACTGTATACTAAAAAGTCCTAGGCCCTCAAAATAACTAACATTTCCCAAGCACTTCATAGTTTACAAAGTGCTTATCATGAGAATTATAATCATAGACAAGATACAAACTTGGGAATTAATGAAGACACGGTGTTCACAGTGAGTAGATGGCACACCTGACTTAAAACCCAGACCCTATGACCAGAAACCCTCAGGTTTCTGTCTGCAGACAATGGATCGAGACAATGAGTTCAACGTGGGACACAGTGGGGCTGAGTTCATAGACTTCCTCCCCAATCTCCCCATCCCCCAACCCCTTCTTTCTGCTCCTCTTTCTCTTTAATATTTTGTTCTTAACTTCCAGTAATGTCCACTCTCTGCAGTCCACACCCCCCCAAATGCAAATCACTCAATCTAAAGAAAAATTTAAGGAAATATTTCTGGGTTTGGAATATGGACTTTCTCTCACATGTGACCCATTCTCTCTCCCTTTTTTTTTTTCATTTATTTATATTAGTTGGAAGCTAATCACTTTACAATATTGTAGTGGTTTTTTCCATACATTGATATGAATCAGCCATGGATTTACATGTGTTCCCCATCCTGAACCCCACTCCCACCTCCCTCCCCATCCCATCCCTCTGGGTCATCCTAGCGCACCAGCCCTGAGCACTTGTCTCATGTATCAAACCTGGACTGGTGATCTGTTTCACAAATGATAATATACATGTTTCAATTCCCTCCCTTTTTAAAAGGACCTCTTTCTTACTCTGATAATTCTCTTCATTTCTATTATTTAAACTTATAAACCCCTCAAATTTATAAAAAGAAGAAAATGTTAAATAAGAAGGCACACTAGAACTACTTTATATAAAGGGTAAAAAAGACAATTCCATACCCATACATAAATTTTAAAATCAAGTCACTGTCAAAGGCCTAAATTCCAAATGAAGAAGGCCTTAAAATGCAATTAAAATGAGGACAAACAGGATTGCTACATCACTGCATTGTCTCACCTCTGTTCCTCTCAGCATTAACAAGAAACTGGTTTCAGGGGAAGGGGAATCTATTCAGAAAATAGATATTCAAGCAAAATTTCCAGGTTTTCCACTTGTGGAGAACTTTTACATTTATTACATCAGTGTTACTATCAAGGATTTTTTTTTTGTTTTTTTCCCCCATACAATAAAGTATCTTTAAAAAAATCCTGTCCTGAACATTTTTCACGATAAAATACTGATTCAGCACAAGTATTAAAAGTATTAGAAAAAGGATCCAGTAATTACTATGAGACTTATTAAAAACAAGTTATGCTAAAATGACCTGATTTCCTTTCTATGTAGGCAAATAAAGTAAAAGAAAGTGAAAGTCACTCAGTTGTGTCCGATTCTTTGCAACCCCAATTCCATACAGTACATGGAATTATCCTCGCCAGAATACTGGAGTGGATAGCCTTTCCCTTCTCCAGGGGATCTTCCCAACCCAGGGACTGAACCAGGTCTCCCGCATAGCAGGCAGATTCTTTACCAGTTGAGCTACCAGGGAAGCCCACAGGCAAATAAGTGAACTGCAATCAGTATTCACGTGTTGATTCCAACAAGAAAAAGTGTTTTCTATATCCCTACACATAACTGAAGAAATGTGGATTGAATGGGATCATGCAGGCTTCATAGCGAGCTAAACAGGTTATCATTGTCAACCTCTCCTACACAGTTTTAAATGATGACTTTAAAAATAGAGAAAGCATGCTTTTTTAAATAAGAAGATAACTCTAAAGTGTGTGAAAAGCTACAAGCAAGATGTAAAAAACAAAACTCAGAGGGATAAAAATTCTACCATTAAATTAAATGAAAATAAATGTAAAGTCCTACGTCAAGCCATAAAATGAAGAAACTTAGCTTACGGCTCTATTTGAGCCAATGATACAGTGTAGTCACCAAAACTGCATGAGCAGCCTCAGGCTGGACTTGTACTAAGAGGCAGAGCTTCAGCTCTCTACCAGCTAGCCAGGAGGGTCCTAAGGACCCTACAGCACAAGGAAGAGCTGAAGGTACTTGAGACAGAGGCAGAGTTTAACAATAGCAGAGAAGCATCAGACAGACCTGTGGGTGCAGCCCAGGTGTGCACTTAGAAACTGCCATCATGCACCAATACCTGACCTCCCTAAGCCTCAGTTTCCCCATTCATAAAGTGAAGGTTGTCATGATATTTGATTCATTTTGAGAATTAAGTGAAATAAGATATGCAAAATGCCTTTAATAGATATGAAATATAAACAATGCATACTGACATGTTAATTATTAATATTAGATTTAGATTAGAAAAGAGATAAGAAAAGAAAGAGAAGAGATCATACAGTTTCCAAGTATCTGAGGATCTGTCATAAAGTTCTAATAGGAACCTTACAGAGGCTGGAGTCCTTAGATAACAAAGAGAAGAAGTAAATCCAGACAAGGAAAAATGGCAGGAGCATGAGGAGAAAGGCAGAGAGATCCAGAGTGTGCTGAGAGAGGAGAGGGGTGAGGGCTGGGAGACAGACAGGAAAGGGGCAAGTAGTTCAATCTGACTGAAGTAAAGGGTTCCTTCTACACATTTAAAAAGAGCAAATCTACTTACAAACAAACCAAGATAAAAAACACCAAGAAAGCCTGGTTGAAAAAGCCATAGATACCAGCACTGGCTCTAGATGAGAGAGAAGGGCTTTTGCTCACTGTCTTCTTGTTATTGCCACGTGCATTCAGGTGCTTGGAGAGGCTCTGTTTGTGCTCCAGAGAAGATATAGAGGAGGAGCTGCTGATGGATCCAATCAGGGGAACTGAAACAACGGTAAAGGAAAGGAATACGTCAACGGGTGGGAAACAAGCAGTGAACCGATTAGATGCTTTTCCAGGTAAATCCTCTGAAACTCTCCATTCAGCTTCTTCCATTGTAGATTATCTTAGTGTTGAATTAAATGCCTGATTTCATCAAAATACATTGTAGTTAATACACACAAGATTTTAGGGCCCAAGCAATTTTAAGGATCCAAAGGATCCACACCATATGATGACAATCTTATATAGAAAAGTGTTGTTGTGTAATCAATTTAGACCAATTTCCTATTCTAACCACCACTGTCTCTCACCTCTTACTTTGGATGAATTAGTAGAATCACAACTTATTTATATAAAAAACACAACTAATGTATTTTTAAGGTAACAAAAGTTTAATATTAAAATGTTCTGAGTTAACCTGAAGGCAAGCAGGAATACTTTTGAATTTTCTATTCATGCTCTATTCACCCAGTGATTTGACAGCTAAAGACAACTTAATTTTTTATCTATTTCAAGTTTATTGAGTAATAATTGACAAATATAATTGTATATAAAGTGTACAATACTATGATTAAAAGACATCTGGAATGATTAACAAGATCAAGATAACATTCACATCCATCACCTCACATAGTTCATTTTGTGTGTGTGTGAGTGGTGACAATGCTTAACATCTACTCTCAGCATCTTTCAAGTATAAATTGTAAAGGTAACTTTAAATAATTCTATCAAGCCATCTACACTATGTAATTTCACTTTATTCTCTGCATCTAGTCCTGTAATTCACTACATGTATGTAAGAATCACAACAGGAATTTATACAAAAAATACAAATGTGTGTGTGTGCACTTTATTATGAGCTGTTTAGGGAATTTTCAAGTATAAATTTTTACTGTACCGAGTCTTCCCTTACAAACTTTAAAATTTAGCCTCATATAAGCTATATCACTATATTGTTTTAAAGTTCCATCAGTACATTAAACTTTAAGAAGTTATAAATTATATTACCATCTTTCTCTGCTCCAGTTTTCAACTCTTCACCAGGAGGCAATGAGAGTGTTGATTCTGAAGCACTATCTTTTTTTGATGTCATTAATCCTAGAACACAGAAACAAAACACATTCAGCAAGAAAGAATTTTAATGTTAAACATAAACATGGATTCGCTTTTGAAAGTACAGACAATCCTCACTGAAATCTTCTCTACTTCTGAGAATGCACTGGATAATAAATTCACAGACATCAGGGGCCAGTATTTTATTAAGGGGAAAGAAAAGAATGTATTCCTAGCCCATCTGAAAACCCCAATCAATTTCCCCAAATATCACTAAGCTATCTTTTAAACTTGTTTTAAAATCCACTTAGGAATTCTATATAATATAAAGCATTTAAAACACAGCTATCTAACCATCTGATACTTAGTATACTCCTTAGTGCTTGCACAATGCTAGCAGGTAAAAAAAACTTAACATGCCTACGACAGTTGCACACTTATTAAGATCTGCACACAACTCATGATTTCATTGGTATGTGCAGGCAAATTCATTGGGGCAGACTGCCTATTCAGATAGTGGATTTGTGGTAAAAAAAATTTTTTTGCAAACCATTATAGAAGCTTTTCATTTAAGTGGAAGTCAGATATTAAAAATCCCTGTACTCTCTGTCACTGGTATTCTGAAAATGACTACTTGACTCTCATTACACTCAACTCCCACCAAAAAAAAAAAGCAGTTTAAAAAAGAACAAGGTCATGAATAATAATCTACTTTATTAAGACTTCTGTTTTAATTCTACAGAACCAAACCATTTAAATAAGAAACCTAATGAATGACATCCAGTTTTGAATTCCATCTAGAACTCATTTCAATTCTACTTGCTCACAAAGAATTTTGGGTGGAGAACTGAGCTTGGCACCCTGAGCATCACAAACAGAGCAAGCCATAGTCTCAGTCCTAAAGAAAGACCTTTTCAATTTGGCATGGTAGAAAGACATGAATAATCAAAATACAAGGACATGTTTGATACAAGTCCTAGCATTGAGGGAGGAGACAATAATCATTGCTGTAAAGATGAGTTAACACCTCATCAAGAACATCACATTCCAATATGCGTCTTGAGAGATAGGTCGGATTTCTTGTACAGAATACTGGAGGTATGGTCAGAAAGAACTAGGGTAGGCATAATGGATATACAAAGAGAAAATAAACTTAAAGAAAGACAGGGTCAGAGAAGATTGAGTGGATTGGCTGGAATGAAGTGGACTTTGGGGGGACACAGGAGAAGTAAACCTGATGGATGAGTCACATTACAATCTTAGAGGGTGACAGGGTTGGCGCTCTTCAGTAAGGAACAAGCCTCTGATGGGCTGTGGAAAGGAGGGCTGGAGTGACCACTCACAGGTGGATAACATCAACCAGACAGCAAAGTCTAAGAGGAACCAAAAGGAGGAGAGACAGGAAGCAGAGGCTGGGAATGAGGGCCAGAACTACAACTGCAGACCCTGGATGGACGGGTTGGGAAGACAGACTTTGTGAAGGCAACCCACAGAGTAAATTTCTTATTTTCAGTAGTATTTGTCAGTCCTAAAAGAGCCATTTGAGTCTTTCCTTTTATTTGAATTGTTAGAGATAACTGGAGATTCACATGCAGTTGTAAAAAAACAATACTGGACGATGTCCCACACACTTTGCCCAGTTTCCCCCAAAGGTGACATTTTACAAAACTACAGCATAAAATCACAACCAGGATACTAACATTGCTACAATCCACCAAGCTCTTGTGTTCCTGTGTGTGCTCATGTGTGTCTGTGCACATGCATTATTTGGTTCTTCCTTATATCTTCATGTCTCTGCTGAAATCTTCTATTTGTCTCAAGAGGGTTCACCCTTAATTCTTAGAGGGTTATAATATGTTCTTTGAAATATTTACCTGATAATTGTATCATCTCAGGGTTGGCATCTTTGATTGCCTTTTCCCTTCAGAGCTGTTGAGATTTTCCCGGTTTTTCATATTTAGAACAACTTTTCATTGTATCCTGTACACTATAAACATTATTCTACAGGACTCTGGGTCTTGTTTAAAATTCAATGGAGAATGTGGATTGTTTTGTTCTGCTCTGTTTTCGCAGGCACTGGACAGTCAGCAGGCAGTTAGGTTCAGGCTGGAAATTCCTATCCACCTTCTGTGACTGTGGTTCCAATGTCAGTTTGGTTCCCAAAGGCTCTTTGAGATCTGGCTTGTGTGTTGTGCCACCCAGCAGTCAGCCTGAGACCTGGGTGGAGGTCTGTGCACACCGAAGCCTGTGGTCAGAATCACGTACACACAGCTTGGCAGTAAGTGCTTCTGAGAGCACTTTCTTGAGCTCCCTCCTCACATGGTCTCCAGAAGCACCCTCCTCCTGATATTCTGGATAGAATGCCAAGGTTTTCATTGCTCTGCTCTGTCATACAATCTCTTGAAAGCCAAGCAGTGAGAAAAAAGAAGAAAAACTAATGGGGACTCCATCCACGTCCGCAGGACCACAGCTTCTCTGGCCAAAAACAAGGGTTCCCTCCCTTGGGGGTTTTAGGTGCCTGGCCATCCCCTGCTGCTACTACAACATACAGGACTTCTTAGGGACTAGGGTGCGAAAGAACCAAAGAGATTTTTTAAAAAGCAATTGAAAAGGAAAACAGGGATTTCCTCCACTTTGTCTAGTCAGAGATTCCTTTTCCTGCTCCTCAGACCAGAAATAGAGGGCTCCCCTTCAAGATTTCCCTCCATACCTGCTGTGTACTTCTGCACTTCACGTTAAAAGCATACCATTTACAGAGCATCAAAAAGTACAGAGTACCTAAGAATAGACCTCACAAAACAAGTGCAAAATATACAGAAAATCATAAAATTTTACTGAGATATTTTTTAAGGATCCAATTAAATAAAGTGATATCCCAAGCTTCTAATTAAAAGACTAAATACCATAAATGTCATTTCTCAAATTGATTTTAGGCTTAAATGCAATACCAATTAAAATTTCAACAGATAATTTTTTATTTTTTGACACTAAAAATAGCATTAACATAAGTTGTTAATTCATTTGTCTAGAAGGTAATTTTCTGTTAAGCAAAATAACTCTTGATTTTTAGACAAGCACTTTTTTGAGATATAATTCTAGTTTGTAGTTGCAAACTAATATTCTCTCGCCCTGGGGATACATTTATCATCTTATTTATTTATTTTTCTTTTTTCTTTTTTCAACTGAACTATAGCTACATAAACAATATATTAGCTTCAGGTGTACAACACTTGTATATATGACATTATGAATCAGTTGCCACAAGAAGTCTAGTTACCATCTGTCACCAGAGAGTTGTAACAGCATCATTGTCCTTATGCTATGCACTACATCCCCGTGACTTATTTTTTAACTACAACTTTGTGCCTCTTAATTCCCTTTTTCCCAGCGCCCCACCCCTCTCCCAACAGATTTTTCTTTAAAGAAACTTAACAGCTTATTCTGTTAAGCAAGAGAGTTCCAGAAAAACATCTATTTCTGCTTTATTGACTATGCCAAAGCCTTTGACTGTGTGGATCACAACAAACTGTGGAAAATTCTGAAAGAGACGGGAATACCAGACCACCTGACCTGCTTCTTCAGAAACCTGGATGCAGGTCAGAAAGCAACAGTTAGAACTGGACATGGAACAACAGACTGGTTCCAAATAGGAAAAGGACTATGTCAAGGCTGTATATTGTCACCTTGCTTATTTAACATCTATGCAGAGTACATCATGAGAAACGCTGGGCTGGATGAAGCACAGGCTGGAATTAAAATTGCCGGGAGAAATATCAATAACCTCAGATATGCAGATGACACCACCCTTATGGCAGAAAGTGAAGAAGAACTAAAGAGCCTATTGATGAAAATGAAAAGGAGAGTGAAAAAGTTGGCGTCAAGTTCAACATTCAGAAAACTAAGATCATGGCATCCGGTCCCATCACTTCATGGCAAATAGATGGGGAAACAGGGGAAATAGTGGAAACAGTGGCTGACTTTATTTTTTGGGTTCCAAAATCACTGCATGTGGTGACTGCAGCAACGAAATTAAAAGATGCTTACTCCTTGGAAGAAAAGTTATGATCAACCTAGACAGCATATTAAAAAGTAGAGACATTACTTTGCCAACAAAGGTCCGTCTAGTCAAGGCTATGGTTTATTCAGTAGTCATGTATGAATGTGACAGTTGGACTATAAGAAAAGCTGAGTGTCTAAGAATTGATGCTTTTGAACTGTGGTGTTGGAGAAGACTTTTGAGAGACCCTTGGACTGCAAGGAGATCCAACCAGTCCATCCTAAAGGAGATCAGTCCTGAGTGTTCATTGGAAGGACTGATATTGAAGCTGAAACTCCAATACTTTGGCCACCTGATGCAAAGAACTGACTCATTTGAAAAGACCCTGATGCTGGGAAAGATTGAAGGCAGGAGGAGAAGGGGACGACAGAGGATGAGATGGTTGGATGCCATCACTGACTCAATGGGTATGAGTTTGAGTAAACTCCGGGAGTTGGTGATGGACAGGGAGGCCTGGTGTGCTACAGTCCATGGGGTCGCAAAGAGTCAGACACAACTGAGTGACTGAACTGAACAGCTTATTCTAAAGTTTATATTGAAGTTTGATCTATAAAAAAGGCCAAACAGGTAGGACACTGTTCAAGAAAAAAGAGAGGAGGTTTTCCTCTAATGGAAATCAAGATTTAAAAAAAGAAAACCTATGGTAATCATGAAATGCAGTACTGACATGGGAATATTCAAATAAGTCAATGGAACAGAGTAGAAAGGGCAACCCAATTCCTGGACACACTCCTTTATTCATGCTAGAGAGCCCTCTTGCTTCAGCTATTGATGGGTTAGCAAGTATGTATTAAGCACCTATTTTGTGCTATGTGCCACAGTGAATGAAAAGTGAAAGTGAAGTTGCTCAGTCATGTCCAACTCTTTGCTAACCCATGGACTGTAGACTACCAGGCTCCTCCCTCCATCCATGGGATTTTCCAGGCAAGAGTACTGGAGTGGGTTGCCATTTCCTTCTCCAGGGGATCTTCACAATCCAGGGATTGAATCTGGGTCTCCCACATTGCAGGCAGACACTATACCATCTGAGTCACCAGGGAAGCCACAGTGAATATGAAAGTACAAAATACTCTCACAGTCCATTTAAAGTTTAAGATTTTGCCAACAGAATAAAAGATCTGCATGGATAAGGCAATCAGAGGACAAAACCCAAGGTAACAAATAGCAACTGGGTAGTGTGGATAAGAAGGAAGAGATCAAAGAGACCTGGGTTATCAGAGGGTCCTCACGGAGAAACAGGATGTGAGTAAGGAGGTACACAAAGACACGGACCTCAGGGAGAAGTCAAACATTGCAGAGAAACAGCTTGGGACAAGTATGAAGGGAAGAGTGAGAACAATACATACAAAAGACAGTGAGACATGATCAACCACGGCTCAACTGCAAAACAGTAAGACCCTCCATCAGCGAAAGGTCTCTGACAGCCAGTTTCAAGAGTCATGACTTCCTCTGATTAAAAAGAAAAAACTCAGTAGGGACTCCCTGGTGGTCCAGTGGTTAGGACTTTGCCTTCCCTGGTCGAGGAGCTAAGATCACTCATACCTCCCAGCCAAAAAACCAAAACATAAAACAGTAGCAATACTGTAACAAATTCAATAAAGACCTTTTTAAAAATGGGCCACATTAAAAAAAAATTCTTTAAAAAGTCACTAAAATTCTTAAATAGGTGAGAAACATAAAGCTAGTTGTGTTGCATAAATATTTATCAGAGGTATAAAGTCTAGCTTTGAGGTTAGATAAAAGTATGGAGATAGATGTGGGGGAAAGGAAGGAACATATCTGAAATACTCTTGTTAGAAATTAAAATCATAAACCAAGTACTTTGCAGGCAATAAATTCAGGTTTCATAGGTAGCTAAACAAAAAGTCTGACACAATATAAGGTATTCCATGGATTAAAATTAAAACAAGATTTCTAACATTCCGGTTTGACCTACCAGTATTTACTTTTGATGTTACATGAGCTACATCAATTTTCTGGGACCTGATGAGAGGTCCAGCTTTTGTAGAAGGAGTGTGTGCTATATTCTTCCTTCGATCTTTTGCTTTACTTATCTTTGAAAGAGGTGCAAAAATACCTAAGAGAGAAGGCAGAATTTTAATATTAAACTATTGAAAGCATTTCAAATAAAGGGACAAGTACAACCATTCAGTAGCAAAAAATCTTTAAATTCTTTTTGAGTGCCTACTAGGTGTCCTTGTAGTGAGAGAGAAAGAAAAAAAGTAAGAATCAGTATTTGCCCTCAGAGAGGTTATAATCTAGTTGTCAAGACTAACAACATACACAGTAATTCAAGAAGCACATAGCATAATCAGGCACTATGTGAAACTAAGGAAAAAGAGGAATGAGTAGAAGTAATAATTATACTTTTATACATTATAATTACTTCTAAATATCAGCAAATAATAATGCACTACATAAGCAGTGGTCCCCAACCTCTTTGGCACTAGGGATCAGTCTTGTGGATGATAATTTTCCCATGGACTGGGATGGGAGGGATGGTTTCAGGATGATTCAAGTACATTACATTTACTGTGCACTTTATTTCTATTTTTATTATATCAGCTCCACCTCACATCAGTAGGCATTAGATCCTGGAGGTTGGGGACCCCTGCTATATAGTATAAAAACTATTCTTCCATGTCACTTTATCTATAGCTCCTTAGGACATATTTTTTCCCATATTATAATTTTTTATGTCCATATTTTATCTCCTTTCCAGACTTTAAAGATAAAATTCAAGATTACTCATCTCTGCATTCCCCCAATGTACCTAATTATAGTGCCTGACACATAGTAGGGATATAAAATACTTTTGAATACAAAATATAACCTTCCCCAAAGGCTTATCCCTCAACATCTGAAAATCAGAAACAATACAGAGAAAGGCAGCCTCTTTGCTGCAGCTAAGAGTATAAAATTCCATTAAAAAAGAAGTTTATCTGGGCATAAAATTCCAGTATATATAAACAGGCAGACATTAGAAACAGTGAATATGAAACTGCAAATACCAAGATTATTTGGCTAAGACATTTAAGAAGAAAAAATAAAGTCATAATATGTGTACTATACATTTCCATTCAGTGTTTACACCTAAACTAACAAAGACACATTATGACCAAAATGTAATACATTAAAACAACTTGTTTTAAAATAGGTTTTTAAGGACAACAAAAAGTGAGTGCTCTATTTATAGCTAACAAGTGCAGACTATACTGCTTTTCTGCTAATCTTGACATTCTTTCCTCCCTTGGATTCTACAGTACTTCCTTCTGATCTTCCCAGATCTTTTGACTTCTCCACAATGTTTTTTCTCTTCTGTCTCCCGACTATCAGATTTTTCTTTGACTTTCTATTCTTTTCTCTAAATTATTTTCCTTGCCAAATACACATACATTCTCAAGTCAAGGGTTTGAAGAAATAAATTATTTTATACTGTGGGATGTACATTTGTAAAATCTTACTGGAAGACAAGAATTCTGCCCTAATTTGTTTTATGATACTAACTATAAGGAAATACTTATATTTAAGAGGTGTGAACAGGGTTACACTTGTATATTATAAGGAGAAGATAGATTTCAAGAATCAAAGCAATTTCTAGTTTTCTACTATGATCCAATCACACTTTTGGAAATTATAAGAAAATAATCCAAACTGGAGGAAAAGACTGTCTACCTGAATATGCCAACATTGCAATATTATAAGTAAGAGAAAACAATTATTTGGCAATAGAAGGAATGAATCTATATTTATGAACTATTACATCACCACTAACAACTAGAATAAAGATTATAGAAATATAGAAAAATATGAAAAGCAAATTCAAGAAAACAAAAATTGAACTGTAAGTTTGACTGCATTATGATTATATCTGTGAGAAGTTATATGTGTGGATATAGGAAGGACTGAAAAAAATCAAAAACCAAAACATATTTATGAGTGCAGACTATGAATTATTTTTCAAATTTGTGTGTGTCTCTAAAGTCACAATAACATTGTTCAATGAATGAACTATATAGTTCTCATCCTCTTTGCTTTTTTTAATTAACTAAATCATTTGAGAGAAGCAAAACTAAATTTAAAGCAATGATTGGATACCAAGTCCAAAGTGTGCACCATATACGTGCTAACCTTCCTGTTTAGAATCTCATGCTAATCAAAACAGTGATGGGATTCTCCTCAGATCCTAACATATAATTATAAGGCTTAACTAAAAATAAACATCTAAGGAAGAATTATTTTAAAACAGAAGAGTAATGAATTTCTAGGTAAACATAACCCATTTTGTTTACCCACAATTCCTCCTAAAACTCCACTACAATTTTAATAAGAAATAAAAACATAAACACTAAAGAAAAAATAACATTAAAAAAAGAGAGAAAAAACACTAAAGCTTCCAAAGAAGTTTCCAAAAATAGGGAAAAGGAAAAAGCGGAAGAAAGACTCTGAAACTTGTAAATAGCAACATGGAATCTCAAAATAAGAGCTGGCAAAGCACTGCCCAAGAACCAGGTCCTCCCTGCTGCCTACTTCGTAATGCTCTGTTGGAACACAGCCACACCCATTTGTTTACGTATTGTTTATGCCTGCTTATTCACTACAATAGGAGAGCTGAAGAGTTGCAACAGAGACCCTATGGCCCATCAGTTCAGTTCACATCAGTCGTGTCAAACTCTTTGTGGCCCCAAGGACTGCAGCACACCAGGCCTCCCTGTCCATCACCAACTCCTGGAGCTTGCTCAAACTCATGTCCATTGAGTCAGTGATGCCATCCAACCATCTCATCCTCTCTCGTCCCCTTCTCTTCCTACCCTCAATCTTTCCCAGCATCAGGGTCTTTTCAAATGAGTCAGTTCTTCATATCTGGTGGCCAAAGTATTGGAGTTTCAGCTTCAGCATCAGTCCTTCCAATGAATACTCAGGACTGATTTCCTTTAGGATGGACTGGCTGGATCTCCTTGCAGTCCAAGGGACTCTCAAGAGTCTTCTCCAACACCACAGTTCAAAAGAACCAATTCTTCGGTGCTCAGTTTTCTTTATAGTCCAACTCTCACATCCATACATGACTACTGGAAAAACCAGTTTTCTTTATAGTCCAACTGTCACACCCATACATGAGCACTGGAAAAACCATAGCTTTGACTATACTGACCTTTGTTGGCAAAATAATTAATGTCTCTGCTTTTTAATATGCTGTCTAGGTTGATCACAGCTTTTCTTTCAAGGAGCAAGCATCTTTTAATTTCATGGCTGCAGTCACTATCTGCAGTGATTTTGGAGCCCAAGAAAATAAAGTCTGTCACTGTTTCCCCATCTATTTGCCATGAAGTGATGGGACCGGATGCCATGATCTAAGTTTTTTGAATGCTGAGTTTTAAGCCAGCTTAACACCTAAAATATGGCCCATAAAACCTAAAATTATTTACTACCTGGCCCTTAACAGAAAACATTTGCCAAATTGCATTAGACAATAGTGTATCACCTTCCAAATACTGAAAGAATGTGAATTTCAACCTATTCCTGATCCCACTAAGTTATCATATGAAGTGTGAGGGTAGAAATAAACATTTCTGGAATGGAAACTCTCAAAAAATTTACTTCCTGTGAGTCCTCTATGAAGTCCTACTGAAGGATGTGATCCACCAAAACAAAGAAGTCAACCAAAAAAAAAAAAAAACTGACTTAGAATATTAAGAATATCAAATCTTTCTCTTCATAGTATGAAGTCAATAGATGTCTAAGATTGGAAAGATTCCTATAAATATATTAGTTAAAATATGAAATGAACATCAGAAGATAACAGCTAAAGAAGTAAAAAACATTCTTGCCTCTAAATAACGGGACTTAGAGTGAGGAACTGCAAGCCAGGGGAGGGTTTCATTATTGTTTTACAATACAATTTGACTAATTAAACTAGGCATTTGTGTTTACTTTGGTAATTATTAAAAGGAAAAAAATAGTTTTATCAAATATTAAAAATTATTATAAAATTTTCATAATTGCCTAAACTTAGAAGCAACCAAGATATCCTTTAGTAGGTGAATGGAGAAATAATGGAAGTCTTGATACCTCCAGACCATGGGAGTATTATTCAGTGCTAAAAAGACATGAGCAATCAAGCAATGAAGAGATATAAATACAAATTACTAAGTGAAAGAAGCCAATGTTAAAATGCTACATACGGTATGATTCCAGCTCTATGACATTCTGGAAAAGACAAAATATGGAGACAGTAAACAACCACTGATTGTCAGGGGCCTGGGGGGGGTGGTGCGGGGGAGGGTGGCTGAATAGGTGGAGCACACAGGGTCTTGAGGGAAGTGAACATACTCTATAATACGGCATTGTGGGACACATGCCATTGTATATTTGTCCAGACTCACAGAATACACAGCATGAAGAGTGCATCTTAAGGCAAACTATGGCCTTTGAGTGATTATGATGTGTTCACGTAGATTCAACAATTGCAAGAAATGTACCCTCTGGTGAAGGGATGTTGATGACAGGGGGGCAGGAGGTTTACAAGAAGTCTCTGTACCCGCCTCTCAATTTTGCTATGAACCTAAAACTGCTCTAAAAAAAAATCTTTTAAAAAATTGTTGTAAAATTTCTATAATTAAAAAATCTAATATGTGCTAGAATTAACAGATCAATGGAACAAAACAATCCTGAAACAGACTGTAGCATTTAGAAGAACTTAATTCATATTAAAGGAAGCACAAGTCAAAGGGAAAGGATAGATTTAAGAGAGAAGAAGAAAAAAAAAATCTGTTGCTGAGAAACCTTTGGCTTCTGCTTCATCAGGGGGTGCTCCACCTCTCCTGCTCCCCACACCTCAAGTAGTTTAGCAAAGACTGGGCTCAGACTGCTGAGCTGGCTCAGCAGGAAGGACTATAGCCATTTCTGTATAATCCAACACATGACCCTTGCCCCGAAACTTACCATTTAAATATGAAAAGGGGAATGGAGGAAGGGTCCTTGGGAATCCACCTCTGCCCTAATCATGCGTGCCTCTCCTTGGGATGATGGGGATAGGGAGGCCACACACACTCTGCTACAGTCTAAGCCTCTCCCAGGGCTTTGATCTACATCAGCTCGCTCTGCGGCTAACGGTTTTGGTCTTGCCCTTAGTCTGCTGGACAGTTGCCAAAATTAGCTAATAGAGGAAAATTAAATCCTTAACCTCATACAACTAACCAAATAAACTCCAAATTAATTGACTAATACAGTATTTAAAAATAAACATATTCAAAAAAATAAAATACATAACCTATAATGAATCCTTGGATTAGGAAGAATGACCTACCTTAGCATAAAAGCAATTTTAAGAAATTATAAAGGAAAAGTCTTTTTTTTTAACTGCATAAAAAAAAGTACATGTCCAAAAACACTGCAGATGGAGTTCAAAGGAAAGTGACAAACTAGGCAAAATATCTGTAGTAAATATAAAGGCTTAACATCCTAAACATGTATTCATATTTTAAAAACTATTATCAGTTTAAAGTAACACTAATATCCCCATTTTTTAATGTGCAAACAATATGAGTAATTATTTCTTGGGAATTACCAAGACAATACAAAAAATACATGTGCTACAACAGAACATTTCAGGCATTCCACTTCACCACAATCAAGAGAAATACGAATTCAAACAAATTTCACCTATCAAATTAGAAAAATTAAAGGAAATGGAATCATATAAAAAAATCATACTTTCAAAAAATATTTAAAGATTTATAGAAATTCTAATAGGATGTCAGTTAAAAATGTAGACTATCTATAATCCAAATTTTGTGGAAAAAAATAAACAGAAAACATATACAGGCGATTTTACATTTTTTTCTCCTTTTTTTATGTTTTTTAAATCTAATGTCATGGACATTTTTTATAAAGAAAAATAATAGAGCCAAAAATGAGGCTCCAGCTTAAGTGTATGGTGAAAGGAAACTGGTGAGTTTCCCAAATGGCCAGGCTCCAAAACAAAAGCACTCCAAGCCACACTGCACCCTTGGCGCAGAGGCCACGTCGTGACCTTGGACATGACTTTAGGGAGGGCAGCTACTATCATACCTTCTGTCCTGCAGTAACAACAGGATCCCCCATTTGATACATTTATAACAGGTAGCAGGTAGTTAACATTTTCGGATGCTTACAGGAAACCAAGCACTTTTCTAGGTGCTTTCTATATTTATCATTTAACTCTCACATGAACTCTGTAGGTTTGTTATCCTCAATTTACAGAAGAAAACTGAGGCAACACAAGAGGAGAAAGAAGGTCCCATAGCTGGTAGGGAGAATAGCTGATTCACACCCCAGCCATCAGGCTCCAAAGCCTGTACTCTTCAAACACTATCCTGTACTGCCTCCCTATCGAGCTGCAAGATGAAATACTGTGCAAACAGGGAAATTAATGTTCTGGGAAAATATTCTCAACATAGTAAGTGACAAAAGCAATTAGAAATCAATGTGTCAGAGTGTGTGTGTGAGAGAGAGAAACAAACAGAGAAAATAAAATTAAGCAAACATTTGTCAGAGAAACAAAGAAGCATTCCAGCTCAGAAGCACAGTAATAAAGTTGGCCTCACTTGCTTTTCTAATTTTTCAAGCTTTTCAGCCTCTAGAGTACTGTAGTTCTTTGGTAATAAAGAATAAAAGCCCTCCTTCAGTCATGACACCACCACCAGCAAGATTCAGGAAGGTCCACAGAGCTGGGTGCACTCCTAGTAAGCCATACTGTATCAGTCACAAGACTGCTCAGTAAGAAAAGGGCAGTCTCTTCATTCATTTATAACCAGGGAGAATGCTTTATTTAAAAAATAATTAAAAAGGGGTGAGATATATGCAAACAGTAACATGGAAACTTACATTACTATATGTAAAATAGATAGCCAATAGGAATTTGCTGTATGGCTCAGGAAACTCAAACAGGGGCTCTGAATCAGTCTTAAGGGGGGGGGGCAGGAGATGGGAGGGAGGCTCAAAAGGGAGGGTTTATATGTATACCTATGGTCGATTCATGTTGACGTTTGACAGAAAACAACAAAATTCTGTAAAGCATTATCCTTCAATAAAAAAATAAACTAAAAAAAGAAAAGATAAAGTCTATGAAATAGTTGAAATGGGTCATTAAATGCTGTGCCTCAGTTATGGATCAAATTCAACCACTAAAAAAAAATTTTTTAAAGCAAAGAGTAAAACTGTATTACTTTAAATTAATTCTCATCACATTAGGCAGTATCTACCTTACCATATCTGGGGGCACATTTAAAGTACTGGACTTTCCCAACACTTCCATTGTTTTTTCCTTCTGGTTCATCCAACTCAATGCCAGCCCACTGTCCACTTGCAAATTCAGTTGTTCCACAAAATCTCAATGTTCCAACCTAAAGAAATATAAATCAGGGTAACTTTTGAGTATTACTTGTAATCCTAAATTTTCTACTCTTATAACTTTATCACAGAAGTCTTTAAGAAGCACTCACTCAAAGCAGACTTCAGAAGAAGGAAAATATCACCAGGGCTAAAAACAGACATTAAATAATGATAAAAGAGTTGATGGACCAAGAGGCATAAGAATCCTAAATCTATATGCACTTAACAACTAAGGCAGGAACAGTGACAGTCACGTCTGCTGCATTTTCATACAGTAGTAATTTGTGGGAGAAGCACTACTGAGGAAGAGGGAGCTGCAAGGGGAAACCTGCAGACTGGAAGCCTGTAAATTCACTCAACCCCTCCACTTTCCTCCCATTTAAATACAGATGTCTTCACTATTCAGTTTGACTAATAGTTTATATTCTTAAGTTATACTTTATAGTAACCGTGCTTCTAAATCTCATGTTTTCCATTAAGTCTCTTTCTACCTACACATTGAACTTAAAAACAAAACAAAAAAACACCCCAAGCCACACTGCACCCTCAGCACATAAGCCACATCGTGACCTTGGACATGGCTTTAGAGACGGCAGCTACTATCATACCTTCTGTCCTGCAATAACAACACGATCCCCCAGCTTCAGGCCAAGTGACGTCAGCATCGCCTTGCTAGTAACACGATCATAATTTGGAAGCAAGGGCTTTGAGAGATCACATGACAGAGGCGCCGCGTCCAGCAGCATCTGCTTGATTTCCTTAGCAGTGGCCGCTGCATCGGCCATTTCCAAGGGCATCTCAACCGGGTCTGGGACAACGTCAGCGGGGATCTGCCCTTTGTCATTCTACAGATAAAGAGAAACTTTTCAGTTCATATTGGCTCAGAGCTCTACATGGCCACCTAGAAGTATTCTGGGAAAAAAGTTAAATTCATCGATCATTTATTTATTCAAAAATATTCACTAAACACCTACTGCCTGCCCATTCTAAATGCTAAAGACATACACAGTGAAGAAATCAATAGCTCCACCCTCAAACAGCCTAGTGAGGGGCAGACTATAATCACATAAACAAAATGTATGGTGTATCAAAGGGTGAAAAGTGGCAGAGAGAACAAGGCAGAGAAGAGGAACATGGACGGGGGGCAGAGAAGGCCTTGGTGCTGAGCGGCACTGGTGCAGAGGCCTAGGGAGGTGAGGGAACATGGGCAGGTTAGCTGGTGGGGATGGCAGTCCAGGCTGAGGGAAGAGTAAGAGCTCAGGCTGTTAGTAGGTGGCGTGCCTGGAAAAGGCACCTCTGGAGACAGAAGTCATGGGACTGCCTGGCTTCCCAACCCGGGACCCGACCCATCAGTCTCCTGAGCCTCCACCTGGGCTCCACGACCTTGACCCACCCTGCTCACTCATGGTGCAACTCAGATTTTGAGAACAGAATCCATAGTTTCAATACTTCTAAAATTGGGACTGGGATTTATCCTGCAGCAAAAAAAAAAAAAAAAAAAAAAGGTCAGTCCCAGGGCCCACTAACGTTTGCATGGTGTTTATATAAGCAAATCTCTGTCCCACAGATTCTCACTTGGTTATCACATCAAGAAAAAGCTTGAGAATAACAGAGATAAAAATCCTTGCCTGTTACAAATTTGTTTTTATTGCAGCAGGAGGGACCAACTAAACAAGTAAAATATGACTACCATTTCCAGTTTGCCAATTAGGAGACTTATGCAGGGAGAGATGAATGAGTGATTGCTCAGCGTCATCTCCATGATTACTGCAGAGACGACACCGCAGCCCACATTTAGCAACCACTGGACTCTCCACTCTTCTCCTGCTCCATGCCATCCTTCTTCCCTCAAACAAGCCCTCTTTCTTCTATGCTCCCTAACCAAAAACTCAAATTTTATCAGAAAGATTCCAGACTCTAATCTTCTCTTAATGAGATGAACCAAGATTCTTTGGCTCAGAAATCTTTTTCCCTTTTCTTCTCCTCTGATAATTATCTTCAAATGACCCACATGGATAAAAGAATGAGGCTTTTAGAACACTTTGTTTGCAAGGGCCTCACATTTTTTATTTTAAAATTCAAGTCAGTTTGGTCCTAAGTAAAAATATGGTAGGTAGACATGTTATCAAATTTGGGGGATGGTGATGAACTATTTTGATCCCCAATTTCAAAGTACAAAATATAAAGAAAATTATCTATAGTGCTAATATGTACTCTTGAGAAAAAGAAAGAAAGGAAAGAAACTTTTAAATCAACAAACCTGTTCTGTTAAGTTGTAGGCTACTTTTACAATGAATATTTTACTTCATATTTTCAAGTCCTCACCTTTCTTGAGTAAGTCACACATTTCTATTAATTCCTACATAAAATTTAGCAACTCAAACTTCAGTGTTTAAAAAATACTAAATAACTAATAAAATAATGATGATATCATGTTAACATAAGAAGACTTGTTCATGATTATGGAATTCCACTTTCTTCTAAAGTAGTGGCTAAGTTAGGGTCTGATCCAAGGGCTACTGCTAACCCACATATAGATCTTTTTTTTTTTTAAGTATTAACTACCAAAAGTGGGTAAAATCTATTAATTACTTTGAACTTGAATTGGTAATTTACCTCCATGACATACCTCACTGCATCTTACTAGATTCAAAATACTCTCTCCACTAGTGGGGTCTTGCCAAGAGTTGTACTAGCAAAAGCAAGCACCTATCACCTTCACACTCCAATCAACTCCTGGCCTTTGTGCACGCCACTCTCTCTGCCTAACGGGACTTTCCCAGCTCCCTCCTATACCTGGTTAATTCTCAACTCTGTTTAAGTATTCAAGTTTACCTACGTCAGGCTTCCTAAGGCTTGGACAGACTCCCATCCCGTGCAAACCCATGACACTCTGTGCCACACCCCGCCCGTCCCCCATCCTAACACGCTCAACTTGACACACTACAGTAAATCTGCCTGCTCTCTTGTTTGTCCCCCCTTCTAGACGATATTCTATTTGAGGACAGAGACACATTTTTTGTCCAGTGCCATGTATTGTCCCAGACACATGTATTCTCCCAGTGCCTAATAAACAATAGGGTACAAAGGATGGAGGGAGGGAAGGAGGAACAGAGGGGGTGATTAAATAATTAATGGGGTTAAACAGAAAGAAAAGTGGCAAAGAACTGGGGAGGGGAGGCAAAACAGGAAAGCAAGGAAAAGAGAAGGGGAGGAGACTTTTGCTAGCACTGCCCACTGCTGCCACTTCAAGAGAATGCAGAGACCCAGTGAAGAATCCCAGCCAGAGCAAGTCAATGCTATTAATGCAACAGAAAAGAACACTCATAGCCACTTTGGTGAAGACAATAAAATACCGAGCAATTTGAAGTTTATGAAGTTCAGTCTTGTGTGTTAACTTCGTAAGTATGTAACTTGATCGTGAAAAAATAAATTTTTCCTTTAAGTCAATTTTAAAGGTTTACTCCGTTCTTAAATAGGCCTTTTTTAGACTGTCTGAAAGAAAACTTCTTTCCAAAAGAATTTAAAATATGGTTTAATGCAGAAATATAAACTTTAATATATGCATTGTTATTTAATAGCTAAAGGCTTTGAAAGATACTTTTAAACTCAAAGATGATAAACTCTAAAGAGCATTTTATTTAGCTGAATGAAAGTAAGGCTAGTAGAGCTTATCAATATAAAAGGACTGAAATTCACTGCTATGCCTTAAACTTATTTGAGATAAAAATTTATCATTATTACTCTTTATATGCAGCACAAAAAAATATAAATTATTTACTCATGTAAGAGTTCCACAACAACATCCAGATTCAACTCTTTCCTGGAAGATAATGTTAGATGTTTTAAATCTTTTTAATATTTTTCACTTTTAATTTAACCTCTTACCCTAAATGCAGGATTTGCTCCATGCTCCAATAAGCATTTCACGGTACCTGCACACAAGTTATATGCAGCAATATGCAGAGCTGTTCCAAAATTAAAGTCACTGCAAGTGGCATCCACATCTGTAATTGAACATCACAAGTGTATTAACAAAAATTTTAGTTAATCTATTATAATGTGAAAGGAGGCAGGTTGGGTTGGATTTATTTGGGGGAAGAGGGGTATAAGCTATTGACGAGACTTAAACCAACCCACTAGAAGGACCATTCTCACAATGGAATAAAATCTGCATATTACAATCTGGTTAACTAATTTTTTTCTTAGTATAATAAAATTTCACTATCAAATGGACTCATGGGTTTTCTAACCATCACAAACTAAAGTATACTTAAAAGCAATTAATGGCAATAATTCATATTTGTAAAAGTAACTATCTTAACACACTCTTTCACTAAACCTCTTGCATATTTGCCATGACAATGATAATGTAGCAGGGTTTAGATCAGGGACTAGCAAACTGTGCCTCATGGCCAAATACAACTCATCATGTTTTCATAAATAAAGTTTTATTGGAACACAGCCACTTGCATTCATTTATATATTCTCTGTGGCTACTTTCACACCACTCTGTAGAATCAAGTAGGTTCAACAGGGACCATGTGGTCCACAAAGCCTAAAATATTTACTATCTGCCTCTTCATAGAAAAAAGAAGGTAAAACAATGGAGACTTCTCAAACCTGGAATAAATTAAAGTGTAATTAAACATATGCTACATGCTGTATTCATTCACAATACTTTATGATGAATTTGGATTTCACAGTAAGAATGAGAATCTTGCAATTCTAAGAACATTTTAAGAATTTTCAACAAATCATCAGGATGCTATACATAGATACAAGATATACTCCAGATTTGGATATCCCATTTCGACTGTTTTTTTATAACATGGGTTTAATATACCTCTGGTTCTGCTAATCCTACCTGAATCAAACTACCGCTTCACCGCTTTACATGTCCTACCCACAACTGCAGACAAACCAAGACACACTCGGAACACTGTCCTGAGTTATGAAAGACACTGTACTATCAAGAGAGGCTTTCTTCCTAACGTCATTCAAAAAGTGAAAATGGAAAAAGGGAAAGGGGAGCTGGACAACTATATGAAGCAGAGGTTAGAAACAACATTCTGGGAAATTTATCTACTGAATCTCTAAAATAAGTCTTCTACAAATGGAGGAAATACCACATACAACCTTCAACATAAAGTAATACTACTGCATTTGTTGTCATTTTTTCTCTAAAGAAAACTGCCCTACTGAAACGAACCAGGACTGTGATTTAGACATTCTGATGTTCAATTTTGGGACATTAAGCACCATCAAGACAAGAAGAAAAAAAATGAAAACCTATCCTTTAATGGAATCACAGAATTTCAGAACTGAATACCACCTAAAACAAATATTCTTCATGATTTCAGTGCTCAGCTCTGAAGGTTTTATTGCTCTAAATTTCTGGCTACCCAAATAAGACAAAAGAACTATACATAGATTCAACTACACTTTATAAAATCCATGTTATACTGGGGAATGTGCAGAGATATAAAAAAATGAGACAACACTTTATTTTGTCTGTCTCTGTACTAAATCTTTTGTGAAAGGATAGCAACTAATCTTCAATTTAAAAAATTCAAACTATTTCTGAAAAATAAAATGGGATTGGAAGTCATATGGAACAAGATGGATCACAAGTAAAAACATCTTTGAGTTATAATTTTTCTGCCATCAATAATAATGTTCAATTAATAACATCCAGTGGTGATCTTGTAGTACTTGCCTTTTGGTTTAGATGTCTTCAAAATCACTCTTATAAGCTCAGGAACATCAAAATAAGCAGCATAATGCAAGGCATTCATGTTTGTCCATCGACTCCGCAAACTAACATCTGCTCCCAGATCAATAAGCTGAGTTGCAAATTTTACCGCTGTATCAACATCACCTAGAGAAGGTTTTCTAAATTACTTTCCTTCAGCACAAATGTTAGTTCCCATGGATGCCATCTACTTACTACCTCATCTAAAAAGCCAAGGCAAATAGCACACCGAACATACACTTACAACTCAAAAACTGTCACTTTTACAAGGAATTTATTCTTTCTAACAAAATAATCATACTCAAGGATATTGATAAACACATAGCTGTAAAGATGTCCATCACAGCACTTTTTATTATGAATAAAATTGTGAAACAATCTAAAAGTACAATAATAAAACACTGGTTAAATAAATTATGAGACATCCACATAATGGAATACTATAGAGCCATTAAAACCAGTGTACCAGACCCCTGCTACTCAGGGTGCAATCTGTGAACCACTGCCAGTCCCAAACTGTAACTCGAACTTTTGATAATGTTTCTCTTTTTCCCTGTGTAATCATTTCCTCTGAATATATTAATTGAACTGTAATTTTATGCTTTTGAAAAATATTTGGGCTTGTATTTTATATGGCTTTAATTTCACTTTTCTATTACAAGGTCATTTTTATTTTATTTTACAAAAGTATTAGTCCATGATGGACTGCAGAAAGAAAAAACAAGAGTCCTTCATCATCAATAGTTTAAGAAGCACTGTCTCAGACTACTGAAACAGGGAGAGGTATTCACAATTTATCATTAAAAGGCAGTGGTAAAGCACAGGAGAATACCAATTTTGAAAACTATGCACATATGTATGTAGGAAGACCTTAGACAGACATAAAGACCAGGGTCTGTAGGGAGTGGGATGCCTGGAAAAAAGCATGGACTGTTAAAGTGAAGTGAAGTCGCTCAGTCGTGTCCGACTTTGTGACTCCATGGACTGTAGCCCACCAGGCTTCTCCATCCATGGGGTTTTCCAGGCAAGAATACTAGAGTGGGTTGCCATTCCCTTCTCCAGGGGATCTTCCCCACCTAGGGATCGAACCCAGGTCTCCTGCATTGAAGGCAGACGCTTTACCCTCTGAGCCACCAGGGAAGTTAAACCTTGCTGTAAACCCTCAGGAAGGTTCTAGGTGTTAATAGTTACTCTCATCTAGCAAGGAGGCAGGCATGAAGCCTGTTCCAGAAAAGTTGGGAGGTATCAGGAGACTATAAAGACTCCCTCAAGAAAAGGGAGGAGCAGGAACAAAGTGTATGGAGGACCTAACTGAATCCTCGCCTATTCAGGAAATATTATCATCATCACCTAGGTGCCCTTGCAGGGACTCTGGCTGACATAAACATACAAGCACAAACATAGATGTCTCAAGCCATTAACAGACTCGCTACATACTTACCAATACCATGAGCTCCAGATTTGCATGTATAATGCAAAAGAGTCATATCTGTCAATCCATCTCTGTCATTCACATTGCAACCTCTCTTAAGAATCTGAGGAAACCAAGGAAGATATGATTACAACATAAGAGTCTACTGATTTCAAACCAATACTGAGGAACCAGGATAGTCAGTCTTATTGAATTAGTTCTCAACATACCCTGGAGGAGGAAATGGCAACCCATTCCAGTATTCTTGTCTGGAGAATCCCATGGACAGAGGAGCCTGGTGGGCTACAGTCCATGGGGTCACAAAGAGTCAGACAAGACTTACCAACTAAGCGTGCACACACAAAATGGGTAGACAGAACTGACTTCTCTTAAGGATGAACTTAAGTCTGCACCCAATAACAATAATGAAAATTGAACTTGTCACCAGACCAAAGGAAACTCTTAAAGAGTATTCCCAAGTAATCTGTCACTCAAAATAGGTCCCTTAACCTCTCAAAAGACAAGCAAATTTCCTTTCAAATGCGAGTAGCAGTAATTGAAAAAGTATAAGCCCCTCTTCCTTAACACATGACAGTGAACTGGTCAAGGAACCCAACATTATTCTTTTACTCCTCTTACAAAAAATTCAGAGTTTTTAAATTATATTTAAGTCTAGATCTTTACCAAGTCACCCAAAAGTATAGATAAACATGAAGGTAATCAAATTCCCTCATGAAAATATTTTTTAATGTATAAATTAATTTGTATGAAAAATGCCTGCTCCCATCAAGAGTCAAAATGTCAGAACTCCAGATGTAAGGGAGTGAGGAGCACAGGGGAATGACGGAAAGACTGTGCTGTGTGCGTGCTCAGTCATTTCAGTCGTGTCCCACTCCCTTGCGACCCTATGGACTGTAGCCGGCCAGTCTTCTCTGTCCATGGGATTCTCCAGGCAAGATTACTGGAGTGGGTTGCCATGCCCTCCTCCAGGGGATCTTCCCGACACAGGGATCGAACCTATGTCTCTTGAATTGTAGGTGTATTCTTTACCCACTGAGCCACCCTGGGAAGCCTGAAGGAAAGACTATACAGCACTAATTCACCTTTGATGAAAAATACAGAGATACAAAGAACAAGCATCAGCATCTTTAAAAGGTTTCCCCTTTATCACCACCTATCCATTCCAATGGGGAAAAAAATCTTTTACAATTAACAATCCTAATAACATAAGATTTATGATATAAAAACTCCTTACCTCATTTCCAATAACATCAATGTTTTGCTGGACCTGAGGAACCCACTGTCTTAAAATGGCAAATAATTCTGATACAGAAGTTTTGGGATCAAAGAGAATTTCCTGGCATGATGTATCATTAGGATCAAAGAAAGAAAACTCTGTTTAAAGAATAAAAAAAAAAGGCATAAGTTATATTTATTAGAATTTCCAAAAGCATATGTTAAAAATAATAAACAACAAGACCAGGACTCAAATGACACAAATACTTTTAGGTGCTAGAAATATTTTACCTTAAGCAAGTCTCAAAAGCAAAGTCAGGATCACCAAAAATTATGAAGCACTTCTGAAAGGCTGTGAGAATGAGATTTCCACACATCATACCATGCCTTATCACAAATGAAACAAAAATCTGAGTGCACTGATATCAAACCCTAAACTGTCCAAGAACTTCCTCTAAAGCACAGAAAATCTGTCAAAGTTTACAGGTATTTTCACCTCTCAAAACATAAATATGTCATGAACAGTAGACTCACATCCATGATTAAAGCATACAAAGTAGAAAGAAATATGCCAGAATACTAACAGTGGTACTAGAATGATGTGTAACTTTAAATATTCTTGTTACTTCTCTGTAGTTTCCTAATTTTCTATAGTAAACAGGCATTACTTTTTACCCACTGAGAAGCCAGTGGGGAACTGCTATGTACACACAATAAGGAAGTAATATGTGATAATACAGAAAGGAAGCATTGAGGCAAAGAGATTGGGTTATTTGGAATATGTATTAGTAAAGATGTGGAATACTAGACAAAATTAAACATGATTTTAAAATTCCTTAAAACTTTCTTAAGATTCAGAGAACAGATTATCCTATGGCCAGAAAATAAAAGAGAACAGAAGAAAATCAGATTATTTAATCTTGAAAAAAAAGCTAGGGACTCTAAAAATTCAGAAGCATCTAAAGAAGAGATGCATAAGAAAAGCAGTATTTGCTGAGTGCTTACACTTTACCAAACACCTTACCTGATAGGTATTAGTCTCATTTTATAGATAAGCTGAAACTAACTAATACTTGCTCAAAGTCAGACAGCTAGCAAGTGACAAATCTGGGGCAGAAAACCAGGTCTGCCTCCAAAGTCTATCGTCTTTCCTCTATGATGTTGCCTCCCCAAGAAAATTCACTATTGAGCTAAAATTTACAGATTTTAGCAGCATACATAAGTTAAATTATTTAAACTTTAAGGTTTAATTATTATTTAAAATAATTTCAATTCTAATCAATCAAAATTCCACCAAGATTCCTTTGTAGGAAGAGACAGACAAATTACATTCCCATTACATTTAGACAAAAATACAAACTCCTTTCTGAAGCCTAAATGATCCTGCCTGGTCTGGCTCCTGCCTTCCTCCTCAATTTCATCTCCTGCCATTCTGCCCTTCAGCCACTTTGCTTCTCAGCCACAATGGCCTTCCACTATTTCTCTGGATACACCAAAGTTTTTTCCCCAACTCCGTATCTTTGATTTCCTGTTCTTCTGCCTGGAAAACTTCTCTCCAGGCTCTTCTCTCAACCAGATGCTTCTGATTCTTCAGATGACCAGCCCACCTAACAACCACTCTGCCATTATCCTCAGTCCATTTCTTTTCTCCACAGAATTCATTATAACCTATAAAATTCACTTTTGTTTATTCATGTGTTCATTTATTGTCTGTTTTCCTTCCTAGAATGTCGCTCTTGGTCACTGTGCTATCCCCAGCACCTGCGACAATACCTAGCACATAACAGGCCCTCAACAAATCCTTACTCAACAAACACAATTCTGGATGCCATGTTTTAAGAGGACACTTTAGCATACTAAAAAGAGAACAACTGGAGTGAAAAAGGTCTAGAAATCCTGATGATGAGGGACTGGTAAAGGAATCAGAAATGTGTAGCCTAAAGTACAGACTAATTTAAAATATCCAAATTATCTTCAAATATTTGAAGGTTATCATATAAAAAGTGTTTGCTCCACACACATATCAAACCATTTGGCCAAAATTTTAAGGAGGGAAAGTTTGAGTCCATATACAAAAACAATTTGATCACAACTAAAACTTTAGCAATGAAATAAACTATTAGTTTCCTACTACTGAAGATATCCAAGTGGCTGAATAGTTACCTATCAGATATCCTGAAACAGAATTTCTAAACTAGGAAATGAGTAGGGAAAGCGGAACTACAGGTCCATTCAGATTCTAAGAACCTATTAAGAATTCAGACAATATTTAATTTTGGTTATACAAAGGGATCAATACCCATTTTCATCTTTCAATGTATTTATTCAACAAACACTGACTGAGCAACTAATATCAACAAATGACTACCTTAACCCAAAGAGATAACCAAAAACAAAACATGATTTCTACTCCATCCAAAGAGCTATAGTCTGGGAAAGGAAATAAGATAATTATGACTCAAGATAGAACAAGGTAAGTGCCATAAGCAAGGTACAGCATGCTTTTCAAGGTTTTTCCTGCATAACTGATTTTTTTATATCTGAAAATCAATCCAGTCAGTTTTTGTAAAAACTGCAAATAACTCCCAAGATCTAGGCACGGGTTTTATGTAACACCTTTGACGACTACAAGGCAAGCTGCTACAGAATCTGAACATATAAAAATAGCATACTTGGAGATGAGTAGTTATTAGAATAGATATGACTAAAAAGACAAATTCATAATCCAATCATTATATTTTCACTAATATTTAAAAACTGCATTATCTCTACCTCCAAAGACAATTTGAAATGGTGACCCAATATTTTACTTGAAAAACTATTTAAATTAGAAATGTAACATATCCATCAAGTTTACCTTCCAGTTTTTTTTTATTCCTTTATCACCTATCTGATAAAATGCAGTCGCAGGAAAACAAGTCTAAATAGATTAAAAACTAGAATACTACTAAATTTACATTTTAAAAAGAATATTTAATGAGACAATTTAAATATGAATCAATCTCAAGCCACATTCCCAGGAAAGGTCTCACCCTCTCTGCATAAGTACAGAGCTTTTCTGGTTTTGTTTTACTATATTTGTGTATACATTGATAATTACAATGGGAGACAGTTGAACAGAATCCAAATCAGGCTTGTTTGTGTGTTAAAACACATTACTTTTTGTTACATGGTCACCCAAATTTGGATCATTTCAGCAGTGATTACTTAGCTTGTTAATTAGAATCCCAGTATTTCAGAGATAACAGGGCCCTTAAAGAAGGCTACCTCACAGTGTTTTTACATCTTTTTCTTTTTTTTCATACATGGCTTTTTAAACAAGTCAATATATTTAACCAAAATATATATATCAGTAGCAGAAGGATGCTAGGTGTCTAAGCACCATTGCATTTTAAAAATAAAATCCTCTGAATCCACCATGGTGCTTAAAATGAACATTTTTACATAGTAAAAATGCTGACAGCAGAAATAAAGTGTTTAGCTTAAAAGGCATGAAAAGCAATAAGCAACTGTTATTTTTGAAAAAGTAAAACTTTAGCAATTTTATGAAAACCACAATAAATGGTTTTAGGAAAAATTAGGAATATAAAAATGTATAAAACAGAAGTCAAGTTACCAGTTCGTGAAAAATAAACGCAGCTACTTAACATACCGCAGTCTGAAGGCATTGGTGCTGCAGAAATGGAAAAGATAACTGGTGTATCAGAACCTTGAAATAAAAATGGGTATTTTCCAATCAAAGAACTTCCTTCTAATGGAAAATCTGGAAGGTCCTCTATGGTCATCTTCTAGAAAGCCACCTTGAATGAGAGAGAGGAAAAAAGCATATCTATTATATTTGTATGCAACTTAGAAAAACTGCCTTCAATCACAAATAGCCTATTTTTTAAAATATCTAACCTATTGTCAACCTTCAAATTCACTCTTTAGAGAGTGAGGGGGGAAAATTCCTTTTAGCAAACCACTGTTAATGAATATACATTGCTTCACACTGTCTCTTAGGGTCAACAGCATACGTAATCTTTTTGGACAAAGCTCAGGAGTAAAAAACTACTATGTATTTCCCAATAATAGGCAAAAACATTTTTTAAACACTGAACTAATCTAAATGGGTGATGTCTCTTTACTTGCAGTAACAAGTGAGGAGACAGTATCCCTGGTAGATGCATCTCAAACTTCTCATAGGATCTGACACAGCTTCTATCGTGTCATCCAATGGTTCATGCCATCTGCTCATCATATGAAAATAATCTAGTTTAGAACATTATTATTTTCTGACATCCCAGAAAACTTAATTGAAAACTGACCACATCACTCGTACAAATCTAAATCTAGAAGCTTATTTCTAGATTGTTTCACTTCTTAACAAGGTAGAGGATCTGTTTAGTCCATCCAGCGGAAGATGGAAGGTCACGCCTTTAAACCACATCACTTATATTACCTCTTTTTCCCAGGAAACATGAGCAAATTTCAGAATAAATTTGCTCCAAATTAGACAGCAGCTGCACCCTGACCCACATATCAGAGATGGCACGGAATGAAGAGAAAATGTTAGTAAACCTGAACTATGAGGCTAAAAGCCTTCCAGTTTCTTCTGCATCAAATCTCTGAAGTCTGAAATATTATGAATCTCTATCTATTTAAAATATAAGCAGAAAACTATATTACAAAGCTAAATAAAAATGAGTATAGATTATTTCAGTAGAAAGAACAGAATAAGTAAAGATGGTTAACTTATAGTGTAGCAGATAATGCTAGGCTAGATACTACTCAAGGTGTGCTCTATTCTACTTGGTTAAATTCCAAACAGTCACCTTTCTGAGATAAGTGGTTTCTTTCCAATTAGATTCATATGTTTTCTAAATACTAGCAGAAACTGGTAAAGAGTAAGGCAATTTCTTTTTTCTCATAAGGTACAGGTTTACATGGTCATGGATATTATATATTAAATAACTTAATCCAGTGTTACTATGTTAAAGGCTCTCAAGGTTTCTTGGATGCTAAATGTCTCACCACTCAATACTCTGAATCGTTCTGACATTAACCTGGCCACATAAATGGGAAAAAGTGTTGCCATACGGCATGGTCAACTTCCTCAAATACTAACAATTTCAAACAGTAGCGCCTACCACAAGGACAGCTCTCCTTCAACACTGCAGCTTCCCTGTACTCAAAGTCAGTCAGGATTTCTGCTTGCTGGCCTCTGCAAATTAGCAGTAAATTTGGGGAAAACAGTCTATACCAGGTATGAAGTGTCCTCTGAAGCCAAGGAACAGAAATAAAGTTTAATAATAGTAATCTGTTTAATATTAATCTGTACAAGGCACTACACTATTCTAGATGTTTCAGAGAATACAAAAATGAGTAACATATGGCCGATGCTTGTTAGGTAGCTTACAATCTACTAGGGTGAATAAAATAGTACTAATAACTATAGTCGATAAAACTGAGTGAAATATATTCCATAACCTCAGTACAAGGAACGTTTGCAGTCGGAGCTCCTGAGAATGAGAAATGGTGCAGTGAAAAAAGCATCATTTGAGAAGTGTCTTGAAAGATGAGTAGGCAGAAATTTAAAAGGGGAGCCCATCAAAGGAACAGCAGGCTGGAACTGGGCACATCTAGTAAGAGGTAAGGCTGTCATGGTTTTTGAGGACTCTCCTCAGTAATGCTTTATATACCTGATCAAATACCAACCATTTAATTCCATGAGCAGTGGGAAATCACTGACTTTTTAAAAGGAGACTGTCCTAATTCAAGCTGTTTTAGAAAAATTAATCTTTGACTACAGTCACACTTTGGGATTCAGCCATGTTTTTTTACACTCTTAATTCTTCAACAAAATGATTAAGTGGTTTTCTTCCTGAGTTGGTTAAGAGGAAGCCACTTTTCAAAACTTCCCTTTCAAAGAATAGGGTTTCCCATTCAAAAACACATTTAATAACTATTTGTTAAATATACACATTTAGCAAATATTCAAATCCTAGACTCAAGGTGGAAAGATGATTCATTCAACAAGATGTAATCAACTTTATTTTACATGTTATATATTTCAAACCCAAAGAAGCTACAATATTACCTGAACAATGTAGTGAACATTCTTAACATGTATTTTGTGTCTTCATTGCATTTTTTTCCCTGGTCCCATTTCCTTTCTGTCATGAAAAGCCTAACCTTCTGCCTTTTGTCGTCCCACTTAAGAAAACTATACATCTCTACAAACTTTTGTATAGTTTTAGAATCCTTTCCTAAAAGTGATTTCTGGATCTAAAGATCTGGGAAGCTTGGTCAAATCTAGAGTTGTGATGAGCTGGACTGAGTACATATTTTCATTTCAAATCCTACTATGGCTAATTGGTGATAATGGGTTATGCAAAATAACCTAAGATTTAAAAAAAAAAAAGTGGCCCTAATTAACTGTGTATGTACCAGATGCAATAACAAGAATCAAATTCCCTAAACTATGATTTATATAGGAATTCCATCACCCCAAATCAGCTCCGAGTAAAAGCAACTGGTAACATGGTTCTAATATTTGGTGATTTTTTTTCAGAGATTCCTGGTCAATGCCCCAACACTGAACGGTGGTGAGTGGAGTTGCCCATTAACTTCTTCAGAGTGGTCCACGGCTATCAGGACCTCACTAAGGAACCTCACTGAGACCAAGAGATGCCCTCAGATTTATTTGGAATACAGTTCGAGGGCATATTACTCAAACTCATATCCTTGAGTTGTTACTCAGCTATCAGTAAATCCAAGCTGCATCCACATGAGTTGGAAACATGAGGCCCTTTCATTCACTTTCATATAGTATTCTGTTATGAGTGTTTATTTTCACGAGATACGAAAAAACATAATCTTAACAAAAGAAGCATTTTAAGCATATTTCTAATAACCCATTTATTTGTTATCTACATGAAATCTATTTAATCACTGAACAAGTATGGTGTGCTGCAGTCCATGGGGTTGCAGTCAGACACCACTGAGCGACTGAACAACAAGCCTTACAGAGAACATGAAAGATACTTGCCCTTAACAAGTTCATTTAGTCATTCAACAAATATTTATCAAGCATTTCTTACTAAGTCTTAGCCTGGCATAGCAAAGGTTTTAAAAAAATAGATATGTCATCAAGTAGATTACACTTGAGAACACAATTCCTACAAGAAATGTGAAATTACTATATAATTGAAATAAGTGCTGGATTCAAGGGGGCCAGTGAAGGCTTGCTAAGGGAATAATTTAAAACTGCAGTGCCCAACCAGGTAGCTATTAGCCATATGTGTCTATACAAATTAAACATTTAGTTCCTCCATTGCTTGAGCCCCATACAAGGACTCAAAAGTCACATGTGGCTAGCGGCTACTGTATTGAACACTGCAGAAGAACACTTCCCTCAGAATAGAAAATTCTGTGGACTCAAATTCCAGATGAGAAAATATACAAATGCCTGAAATGAAAAAAAAAAAAAACATAAAAAAACAGAGGCTAACAAACTAAGCAAGCCCACGGTGGTACCTAATTATACATCATTAACAAGAGAATAGCAAGTCTAAAAGTAACCAGATGTTCACAGATTTACACAGGGCTAAAGAGTTCAGTTGATTCTATTACATGAAGATCACTAGTATGTTTCAAAACTGGAGCTGTTACAAGCCATAAAAAAATCATATAAATATTATTTTTTAAAAGCCTTGCTGGTGGGATTGTTTCTGGTAAATATGAAACGTCTGAAATAAACCCTATAAATAATATACCATATGCCAAATCTTCTGTAAAACAGAAATAAACATATTCATTCCATTTCAAGATTCACTCTTTCAGCCCAGGTTGTCCATAACAAACGAAAGTATTTTAAAATGCATAATTATTGTAGTAAAACAGGGTGGAACCAGGATGGCTTTGCATCATAAAAATGCAGACTTCTGCCAATTCCAGTTCTCTGCTTTCTCTACACAGTTACTCCATGTCCTTCACTGCGTGATCTTCTGCCATTTAGACGACTTTAAGTTGTGCAGAAGATACATAAAAGACAAGTGTCAATGTGAAAGTGAAGTACGATTAAAGTATTTGGCAGATGTTTCAAAGAAGGAGGGTGTTTCTTCACTGAAATATTTAAAAGGCATCAATTTACACTCTGATATTGCTACAGTGTGAACCACACTCTAGCAGGGAACATACAGCAAGTTATTATCCCATGAGAATATCCTCCTCTGATACATATCAAAACATTGTCTCAGAGTTAAAATCCAAATTGCCTACATAGTCTCTAGATTAATGAACAACCTGACATGTAATTCAAAAGAAAGCTGACGTTATAAACCCATCAATCCAGCTCACAAGGATGAGATCTAACCCGCGTCTCTGTTGAGCAGTCTCGGAGCGTTTTCCCCCAACTTCCCATGATTTAGAATTAAGGAATCTGGGGGCAGCGAACGACTGGAGGCAGAGTCATTTATCTTAGTCATTTATCTTTGAATTCTCTCCAGCAAAAGGTTTCTCAAACAGTTTAATGAGCAAAGGGGTGGCAGGAGAGATGCGAAGAGGGCCCTCTCAGGAAAACCACGAAGGGCTGGGCACAGCACGCTGCGCATCACTGCGCGCGTGAGGCTCTCCCAAGGGCGCCGGGGCAGTCAAGGTTGGGGCGCGCAGCAGGGTCCGGCCCGTCCCACACACCTGGAGGTATCTCATCCAGAAGTTAAACGGGCGGTGAGAAACGGAAACCAGACACCCACGTCCCGCCCTTGGGCCGCTCCAACCCCGCCCCCGCCCCGGGGAGGCCTCCAGGAGCCGGCGACAC